ACAAGGGCTTCAGTGTCAGCACGTTATCAAGTCCTTTTAAAGCAGCAGCACCTGGAGAGTGCAGAGAAGCTGGGAAACTAATAGTCAAGCTAGTAATCTGCAGAAATGCCCTCTCTTTACAACCAGAACTGGACACCTCTGTTTTTGTTGGACTTAATCTGAAGACTGAAGAAGTGATGGATATACCACACAAACTAAGTTGCTACCCAGTAACAATTACTAAAGGCAGCAAGTGGATACCTGAAGAAGAAACTGCCCCGGAGTAAATAATCCAGTTGACTATAAAATATTTCACTTTAGCTTTTAAAATAAAACTTCATCTTTAACCATGTTTTGGCACAGTAGCAGTATCATCGTCCCCAGTTATACGCCACCAAAACTAACTGAAAGCAGCCAGTGCACACAAAATCAATGTCAATCTAGTGACATCTTTCTCATTTGCAAGGAACCTGATAACACTTACAAAGCAGGAAGTGACACTAAAAAGAAACACTTACAGTATGTAGCATTAGCTCTGAAGCAGTATCCCTTGGAGTGTATCTTATACATATACAGTATAGATTCCCTGGCAGCCAAATTAAGATGTGCCCCTGTTGAACCTGCCTAGTGAAAGGCGAGCTGAGAGACTCATGGATATTGAATACTCAGTTATATTTGAAGGGAAGGCAAGAGTTATGTAATCTGGGACTCTATGACCTCACAGTTCCATCACACCATATTCTATGGGTTGACATGAACCTCTGAATGTGCCACAGTCTGGAGGGTCACCGCAGAACTCAGGCTGGGGGGTTAATAAAAGTTCTTTTTATTGATGGCAATCTTATGGGACTGAGAGAAAGAGTGGGAGTTTTACATCAGATGAGCTATCCTAATCCAGCTAGGATTAAAAATAACACACCCATAAAGCTTCAGAATATTTCCCACAGGGGCCCTGTGCTGTTTTTATTCTGCGTTACAGGGTGTCTTTGCTTTGTTTCCCCCACTCTCCCAGTCCAAGGGCCAGCAACCACAGAGACCTGGTTATGCACTTTTACTCATGCAAAGAAGCGGCCCTAGCAGTCTGGCGTGACAGCTGAAAGCTTGTTACATGATGCTGTCTTGAGCATTTTAAATGTTAGGCTACTGCACTCTAGTCAGGAAACCGGTAATATCTTTAAACTCAGCTGAAGATAAGTGTCACGTTAGTTCTATTCAAATCAAACTGAGCTGTGGTGAATAATCATAAATGTTGTGTTCATCAGAAATTATTCAACCTTCACAACATTGTAGTGGTTTAGACAGTTTTCTCTCTGGATTTGGTGTATATTATCTATTTGAGTCTCCTTATGACTAAGAATTATAAAATGCGAAAATTAGAACCTAGAACTAACAATTATACTCTTAATTACTTTGCATAGAATAAATGTGTATTGCAGTGTTTCAGTTACAAAATGTTTTAAAAACCCAATGCAATGACATCGGCACACCTTGTTGCAAAATATTGTTTGAGCATGATTTTCCCATTTATTGTCTACATTATTTTGCCTGACCTTTCTACTGCAATAGGTCTTATCTGCTTTACGTGTGTAGCTATGTGTCACTCAAAGACAAAAATAATTTCTAAAATGCACAGCAGTTATAGAATGCATATCCTTAGGTGCCTTTTGATCCGCGAATTGTGTGCTGCTTGTTCACATGTGTCTACATGTTTTGGTTTCTTGTTCTGCACAAAGACAAGTTTAGATGTAGAGACTGACAGAGCACATCATTAAAACAGAAACTTAAAGCTATTCACCATCAATCTCAGAGACAAAAAGCAGTAACATGCTGAATTTGTCTAGGAAATAAATGAAATTTAATTCTGCAGGAGATCAAAGAGCTTGCGAAGGGAAGATGGGTATGATCTTTTTGTACACTTAGCATCCCATCTCACTTAGCACCTCATAATTAAAACAGCTCACCCCAGTGCGGTCTTCTTTTATTCAAGTTGAAAGGCCATCTTTATAACCTTGCGTTAGACAAACAGAAAACAACCCCTGGGAATGGAAATACACAGATAGTCTCATTAGAATTTATAGTAATTCCTGTGTCCTTTTGCAATACATTTAAAGGGAAAATAATGCAGACACTGAATTTATTAAATACACATTTAAAGAACGGTGCACAAATCATCTTAATAGCATTTTTTTAGTTTTTAAGAATTTAACTCTTCATGTCCTGTCTGTACTACAGTAAAATAACATTTTATTTTCAGTGTTATTTATAGGTGTCAGTTACTGGAATCAATATGTTTTCCTCTGGCTTGTTCTTTTATAAAATGATTAAAATACTGTGTTATGTAACTTAATACTGTATATTGTTATGGCCTCCTGCTAGCAATGCCATTGTATTAGGTAATGCAAGTTACCTGAATATTGTGTGTTTCTTAAACAATGATGGTTAATGTTACAACTATATTTAGTGTTTATAGCAGGACATGGGAAAACAATAAACATATCCTCTGCCAGGTACAAAGATTTCAAACTGTGATCCATGCTTCAGTAATCCTATCTCCTCAACACTTCTCTCATTTCTTGCTGAACATTTGCATGTAAAACTGGCCCATGCAATATTAGCTCTACCAGAACATTTCACTCTCATGGGAAGTTATTAAAGCCCTCAAGGTCTTAAATGCTTATTTGGTGGTGTCATATGTCAACATTCCTGAATCTGGAATTAAAGAGTGACAATGTTCAAATATCTCCTTCCTTGTGAATGTGAAGTTGTAAAAATAGCAAAACTGTCTGAATCTGTTGGGTCTACTGCAGATAAAATGGACTTCAGTAAATTGTTCCACTTCTTATCCTTCCTGTATCCTATTACTACTCAACTCCAAATCCCATGTTATAGAAATCTATGTTCAAGGTCAGGGCCCGAGTCTAACTAGCAGAAGCTCACATGAGGGATTATTCCTCCAAGAAATCGCAAGGGTCTCGGGTTTCTGATAGAGTAGACTTACCTTTCTGTGTTCAAGGTGTTAATGATGATGATGTGTAGTGTTCAAATCACTGTACATTAAAACCAATCAATTTAAATAATATGAATGATTTGCCTAAAAAATAAATTACCTTCTATAATCTGAGTCTGAAAAACACTGATAATTGTTTGACCTTGACACTACTACAGCATGCTGGAAAGCTGGTATTTGCAAGCAAGTATTTGTGCTTGTGTATGTATCTGATTATTGGCTGCAGGCTCCTTCTTTATTAGGCTTAAAAAGACAAATGACAACCAGAATTCCTTTCTGGGTTCAGCTTGTACTCAGATAGAGTGCTGTTCAAAACTCCAGAGGTGATTGGCTGGTTAAATGCTGCATTCATCTTCTGATTGGCTACTTTTCTTAACCAGCCTTTAAAATAAAGCTACTCAGTGTTAGTGACTGATAGGGAGATAGGGAGAGAGACAGAACAGGAAGATGGAAGTACTGGATTTGCATAGGGAAGTTAAAGACACAGTACTCTCCTGTGATCCTCCATCTTGATCTTGTTGCACTGATCAATGTACTGATTTCCCTGTCACCACCATTTTATTTTGGACAAAACAGCAAGCCATCGCAAGTCTTCGATTAAGAACAGACATGTATATTACATTTTACAATGGCACTATAGAAACATAATGTATTTCCCAAACAAGGTATTTTATTGTCTGGGAAGAGAAAGAGCAGATGCTTAAAAATCTAAAATTTTCTGGAGTTTTGTAAACTACAATAAATCACATTATGTAGGGATTAGGGTAGAATGATGCTCTAATCAAGTATCTTAAATTAGATCTATTTATAAATAGGATGCGATTGAAAGCTCTTCATCCTGTTATGCTAAATCTGGATATTTGATTATGTATGTAAACTACATATGGCTTCGACCTCACTGTAATGGCCAGATTGCAAGAAACTAGGTCAGGCAACAAAGCCTTTCTCCTTTAGACTGTGCCTGGAGCACATACTTTTTCATTATTTCTTTCTACTAGCCTTAGAATGGCACTTACTGACCAAAGCGTACAATAGTTAAGGGAGGCAATGAATCTCAGAGCTGGATCTATTAATTGGCTGTATATATATAGTCAGATATAAACACCTAAACACCTATATAGGAACATAATAAAGGTTACAAATGACAGAAGATGTTCAGCACAGCTAGCCTGTGGGCTCCTGGGAGCCAATTGATCCGATGATCTTGTCTGGACATTTCTTGAAATAAACCAGGGCTTCATCTCCAACGACGTGGCTGGAGAGCCTCTAGTCTCCCACCATCTGTGTAAACTACCTCCTGGTCTCTGTGGTAAAAGCACTTCCACATAGTTTCCACTTGTGTGGCTTGCTTCGGGTTTCATTGTTGCGCAGTTGGGATTACTCTGTCAGTCGTTCCTTCTGAGGATTTTGAATAATGCCTGAATTAGATCCTATTCTCTGTTTAAGACCAAAACTCTGAAGTGTTGGATATTCCCTCATTATCGGAATGCATCTGGTCGATCTTTTCTGGACTGATTCCAGAACAGCAATATCTTCTTTTTTTTTTCAAACATAATGAACAAAATTGTACACAAATTGTATTCTAAATGAGGTCTTTACTAGAGTATTGTACAATTGCAATATATCACCTTCTAACTCAAATGTAAAGATGTAACTATTTATCCTATTTATTCACTTGCTCTTCTAATTGCTTTTCCACATTGTCCAAACACGAAGACAAGGTTAATAGTGTTGACAAATAGTGAATTTTTTATTAAGTCATTTTTTCAAGCATAGCATTTCCAAGTTTTTCTCTCTAATTCTATCTGCATGCACTATTCTACACGTCTGCATTAAATGTCATCTGCCGGTGTTTGCGCAACCTTAATTATCACAATCTTTTCAAATTTCCTTTGCAGCTTCTACAATGTTTGCTATTCCTGCTACTAGGGTTTCATCAGTAAGCTTCATTGGCTTGATAAGTATACCAGAATCTAAATCATTATTAGAAATGATCTCACGTACACTGGGGAGATAATAAAAAACGGCTGTTTTATTACGTTAGTGACTAAGTCACAATAAGCGCTGGAGATGATGGATACGATGATGGATAACGAGGTGAAGGATACGGTACATGTCCGTCTTGATCGGACTCGGCTGGCTGACAGGAAGAAACTGGTGCTGGACTGCATTCCGTGAAGAGGGTGTGAGTGGAAATATTTCATCAGACTAGATTAAAAGAAGATATAAACTTGCTAGGGAACAACGGAAACAAATGAACGCTAAAAATACGTACAGAATGTAATCAATGGGTTATGCAAATTAAACCCCCCCTCTTTCCTTTAGTTCATGGCTGCCTATACATGAGTGAATCAGCGCAGATGAGAAAAGTCGTATCGTGTTATTCATGACCGTACTATCAAAACATAAAAATATATACAGATAACTCGATTTTACTCACGGTAATGCGATGCATATTTGCGTGTTTTTATTTTGAAATACTGATAATACGTTATTATAACGTCTGTTACTATTCTAGTGAAATTAATATGTAAAGTTAGGAAAGGGTTCAAAAATCAGTATAGTGTACACAGTCTTGTGTTTATAGTTCCGTATTCAGCGTCTTACTAGCCTGGTGACGTAACATGAAATCGCTCCGTGTAGTGAACGGTTGACAGTTCTTTTTCTCCGCCCTTCACCGAGGCCGCGCCTTATAGCTTGTGTAACTTTCCGATTGGTCGTTAAATACGAAGTAGGCGGGGATTGGGCGGGACTTAGGTATTGTGACATCACAATCAGCTGTTGGTATGTTCTAAATTCTGATCCAAGGATCAGCTGGGCGCAGCAATAACAGAAAAAAAAATCTGCAGGAAAAACCAAGGGTAAAACTGCAGATTTGTTAAGAACAGCATCAATGCAGTTTGAATGCACCACTTCTTCTGAGAAGAAAAGCCTTTTTATTTTTTTAATGTTTTAAGAACTACCTCATTTCAAAGCTTCCTAAAGCTGTACTTGACGATTGTTGTTTTTATAAAGTATTTTGAACGTTACGTTTATAACTGAAATAATACGACAAAGGCAGGTAAGATGTGGGTTTGTATCTACTCTTTTACACCTGGTAGTGTATTGTGAAATATAAAGAGGTTTGGACGGTGTCCTTATTTATTCTGTTCCAAAGACATCATGTTTGCATTGTCGAGAGCAGAAACGTCAAAAATACAACTGCAGTGAAACCGAAGTGTTATTTTAATTAATAAACGGCGAATCATCATCCGAGTCGTTACATAACCTTTTAAATTTGTGTATTTTATCACTTCAATATCACTGTGTAGTAAAAATCTTTTATTTTTAATTCAATACCTTCTACACGATCGCTAGATATTTCGGCTTACGTGTCACAGGGTCTTTCTAATTCAATATTAGAAAGATTAGACTGGTAATTCCTCTGTAGACGTAATGCAGTTTTTTTTAAGAGGTGAACCTGTTTTTGCATGTACCACTTCATCAGAGAATTTCGAAAAATCAAGAATCGGTCAACCCTGTTCTTTCACATCATACGGCTTAGGCAGATTTGTTTGGCGGTGTTTTGACAGATTTTAGAAACGGAAGAAAGGAGATCTTAACGCTTTCTCCCGTTTTTCAATCGGCTGTTTGCTCTGCAGGATCGCTCCAAGGTTTCCCTTTTCTATGAACTGTATTTTCCCCAGATCGTACACTTGGGGTTATCGATACTCCCCCCTCGGTCGGCGCCGTTGTCTTCATCCTGCCATTTCCCTGACCTTTATGTAAAACCAGTTTTTAATGCGGTGGGATATACAACCGATGCACGATAATGCACAGCGTGTTTTTTTTCTGCGATACATGTATTATTTTACAGACACCTCCGTCTTTTGAGCGAAAGCAAAGCCTTTGTTGTTTCTTAACGGCCTTTTGTTTATAGAGGTAAACACTGTTACCGGCTGTCGCTAGTGCGCCCTTGGAACAAGCCGTTCTTTCGTCTGTAATTCTGTAGCTAAATACGGGAGTTAACAACTGAAGCACACAAAAACGAAAAATGCTCGAATTGGAGCCTCTTATTTTCCGGGGGATGTGTGCAGTTTTATTCACCGACTGCATGGCTGAAATGTTTGAAACGTACAGTTTGGTTTTTTTCTGTCTCATTTCTCCCCCCAACCCCTCGGCTGTCCTTGGTTCTAAACGCATAGATGAGGTGACGTCAGCTCATTACCGTGCGTGCAGGCTTGTTTTGCTTGTACGGCTCTTTCCACTTCAAACAGAACTCCGCCTTCTTGGGCAACAAGAGTGGCCTTTAGTAGCCTTGCATGCTGGGATACGTAGTATGTCATGCCCATCCGTCAGGATGTTGATTTAGGCATAGGGAAATAACTGCTTTGAATGTCATAAGCCTAAAGCCTGATGCTTATCTCCCGCTAGCTGTCCCAGAGTATCTCTTAGCATCATGAATATGTTCACTGTGAATCTCAGTGTACAGCTTTGCTTCGATTTCGAGATCCAACAACATCTGGCTGCAGACTAATTCTACTACTCTACTACAGAGTAGTAGTTTTACTCGAAAGATGTGCTGTGTGATCAAAGTGTTTTGTCCTTCTAGTTGGCCAGAATACAACTAATTTAAATTTTATTTTGATTTTTTTTTACTAGTATTTTAATCTTTAATGAAGCTGGTGTTATGTTCTTCAATTATTTAGTATTTCTATACTGCTGACTTGTTATAGTCCTAATTTATAATCTATCATCCTCCAGTATTCTTCTCATGAACTGACATAATGTAAATATGGAATGAACTTTCATAGGTAAGATGTGGGAGAATGTACAGTAAAATTCTGGATTTTTCTCCCACTTAACTTTTCAGAATGCTCCCACCCTACGTGACTCAGAAGACCTTTCTTTGGTTCCATTAGAACTGGGAAGCATTAAGCTTATGTTAATAGCTACTCCACCCTTCCTGTATTGTTAAAAAATCTTCTGATGCAATACTGTTAAAAGCAAGCAATGGATCTCTAATTGGTAGGTTGCTCCCTTAGCAAAATACCAAAACAGTTACACCTTTTTAATAAACTTGTGTGATCCCTGCTCCCTTAAGTTATGGTATATAGCACAATCAAAGGACTGATTAATTAATTTACTGATTTTAAAAATGCTGCCACTCAACCTATCCTTCTCTAATTGTCACAATTAGCCTTTTAGTAGCTTCTAGTAGACCCCAAAATCTTCTCCTGCCATTCCTTTAAGTTCTCCAGGGAATCAGCTTTGATATCGTGATTGGGTAGCTTTTTCCAGACTTTCATAACTCTTTGAGTGAATACATATCTCCTGTTCTCATAGATAGATTATCTCAGAAAACACTGGTTCCAGGTAGATCACAAGGGTATGGGAGAATGTCTAGTTAATTAATCACAAATGATGCCTTCTGTCAATTATTTTCAATAGCTAAAATCCAGTGTCATTCCGTCAATAATTAGCAAATGTGGCTCACTCCTTGTCAGGTGAGGTGAAGGCACCAGGGTTCAACCAATGTCTGAACCAATGACTGTGCAATTTAGAAACAGTAGTTGTTGTTTCCACACCCATTTGTGAAGTACGCCTGTCTGACAAAGCTGAGATGGTTTCTAAAAGCCCTCTGAACCAGTGGAATACCCCCCACCTCCTTCTCTTGGTGACAGCGTGCAGATAGAAGCTACAGCAGACTGAATGTGGTCACAAGATTAAGAAATTCCTATTAATTACCTGAGACCCAGCTGCAGATGGAAAAAGGCATCATATGCTGTGCTCTTTGTAAATAAGGGCACAGTGATCTTATGATATTTTCTCGGGGATAATGATTAAAATTGATTTCATACTATTATTATTAATCAACGTGAATGAAAATGAAATGCCATTTTCCCAGGGTATTTCTTCTTGGAGATCCCCCCTTTTAGCTACCTTGGCTGATAAAACAATATCACTCATTTACCCATTCTGATCTAAGAAAGACATGCAAAGTAATATAAATGCAAATCATTAGGAATCATTATGTTTTGAAATGCGCAACATGAAATTGGTGCGCTAAGCTTTCAGGAATGGAACAAACATCTCTATATGGCAAATGTGTAGAGGTGTAGAAAAAGAACATTTTCACCTTTTCTACTAGTAAACAATAGCCATGGCAAAGACCATTGACCAAGGACAAATCTACTAATAGATTTTTTTTTAAGAACACTAAAGTCATTTTAATTCCAAACGTTTTTGTTTGGCAGTTTCCCTGTTCTTTACAGCTTTTTATTGTGCAAGAAGGGTACAATTTATATGGGAAATCATGGCACTACAATGTGCGCAGACCTCAAAGGCGAAGCTGTTTAGTTGTAATGGATTCCTTGAAACAATGACAGGAGAGGAGAGCTTGGTCTCTGTCTGCTTCAAACAGATGGCAGTGCCCGTCTGGATTTAATTAATAACCAGATTAAACAATATAGCACATCGCATGCAGGAAAATGCAATTCCCACTTGCTTCCTAAGCAAATGGCAGATGGAAATGTCCTCAGCTCAGGTCTACATGCCACTGTCACTTGGATCTGTTTCCATTAGAGCACATTGATTGATTATTGATTGATAAAAGTTGATTTTTTTTGCTGATTCAAAGATTGGATTCCCCCATTATCTCCTACTGTCTCTTAAGTCTACCTTGCTGCTATTTATGGGAGCACTCAGAGAACCTTTCCTGCTGGACTCAGTACTCAGTGTTTTGTTTTACTGTGCTTGCTAGCACTCCTGTGATACCAGTACTCTGTTTGGGGTTACTGGTGTGTGTAACCTACCAGGAAGGAAAACTGTTACTTCCCACTTCCATCTCTGCACAAGCGCATTATTTTAAGTGATTTAATATGTGTACCATCAGATGAAGCCAGTTTAATGTAGACACTAAGAAGCTGTCTATTTTCTGTTTCCTGAGATGGGAGTGTCTTTTATTATAATCAAGAAAGTTGTCTCCTAGTGTAAAAAAACTGTAAAATAAACCAAGAGTCCTGTCCTATAGCAACGATGATTACGTCTGATTCATGGCATCCCAGACAAGGGGTCTCCAGCAACTGTTAACAGTTTACCATCACAGTTATCCCTTTTTCTACTTAGGAGTTGATCAGTTAAGCTATCTTTGAGACTGTCATCTTGATGACCACTGAAGACCTATCTCTATCGCATCTCTAACTCAGTGATTATCCTTCAGCATCGTCAATGAAACATTTGGAAAAACAGGATTGTGATTAGAGCACCATGAGAGAAAGAAAGAGGAGAAGGAAATCTAGCATGATTGTGCTTGTTGATGTAGCTGGGACTGTCTCTTTCTATGGAAATGAAATCTTCTTGTGATCACCCATCAGATTTTTTTTTCCTAAAAAATAGCATTTAGCACATTTATTGTTTAAAAGTATTTGGTGTTTCCTATAAAATAACCATTACAAGAAATAATAAACTTAGTTTCTTGAATTTAATCCTCCAAAATCTGAGCATATGTGTGTCATATTTATTAGATGGGGAAAAAAAATCGGCAGTCACCAGGTTCAAAGAACATTAAACTCATTATTAATGCATGTCTTGTGTCTTATGCTGTCAAAGCTGTTCAATGTAGGCGTAAAAAAGCGTGAATTCACAAGCTTGGCAATGAGGATCCTGGAATCTTACTTTGAATTTCTTAAATGGCTCCTCATGCCACCACCCTTTTCTGAATTCGAGAACCGTGGAGTCACAAGGTGGAACGGAGGATGGCAAGAGATAAAACTTGACTCCTAGTATGAGTTTTGTTTCAGTTCATTGACAGCAAAAAAATCGGAAACAAGGTTCAGAACTTTCTCAGCAGCTACTGAACACAATTTGTAACAGACTCAAAGATAAGATATGAGACATGACAGAATACATTATGTGCGGTTCAAAAGTTATTCCATTTGATTTTGTAAAAGAATTCCTTCATATCCATAGCTGCTGAGTAGGACTAATGACTATCAAAATCTAATTAGCTGTGAGAATGTGCCATAAAAGGACACTTTTTGTAACAGTCACAAGATTCCATTTGAAAGAAACTAGCTGCTAGACTATACAGGCTTAATTTTTTACAGTTCAGTTGGCCTGACTTTCACAGCCTTTTCAGGATCAGCATGCACAGTATATACCAAACTTTCAGAGGGACACTTTGGGCAACAGCACATATGAAGTGCTTAATAATTCGTATTCACACACGTGCATTATAATATTGTTTTTGAGTTTCCCTTCTTTAGAGAACAATTCCTCATTGGTCCCACTAACAAAATAAATCCAACTTAAAGAATCTGAGTTACAAGCAGAATTTGTTTTTCAAACTCACACATTTATATACAGGGTGCTTAGAAAACTAGATAGCGTCTTACAACAACTTCATCATGAAATCTATGTATCATGATTTAATGATATTCGGTTTACCTACAGATAGGACTATGGTGAGGACAATGAGAGAATGACCAGTTGACTCTTCATTGGTCAGTTTCTCTCCCACTTGGGTCCATTCTTGGCCTGCATGGATGGGACAACATGGTACAGTGCACAGCTGTGTGAAACTACTCAGTTTCACCTATAGGCGCACCAAATTGCTCCAAAGCCTTTTACATGGCAAACGCATTGAAAATGTGCAACACAAAGGTTTAGTGATTCATGAACCTGAACCGTAACATATAGTGTGTAGCCTGTGGTGCATTAAAATAGATAAGAACTGGAAGCTGGCAAATGTGTTGAATTCATAAATAGAAGGTATCCATGATTTATCCTCTCTGTCCCTCTCTCTCCAACTCTGTGAAAACAGGCCTTTGCCCTAACACCACGTGAGACCTCACATTTGCACTACACGCTTCCTTGCCTGGACTGAGATTTCTGCCTTCTGGATCAAGAACAGCCAGCACAGAGCACAGAGCTTCCAGTTCTCCCATTTCAAAAGGCAGCTACGCGGAGGACCTCCTCCTCTCCTTCCCGCAGTCCCGGTTCCAGCCGAGCCATGTTCCAGCGACTCACCAGCCTGTTCTTCGGAGAGGTGGAGGAGGTGTACAAGGAGTGCAGTGGACCCAAACCCTGCATCTCGGAGGCCGACGAGGATGACTGGCTCCTGGTCAGCCTGCCTGGTGAGTCTCATTGCCAGGCTCTTACAGCCATTCCAGAGGAAGGGGTCTGTCCTGGTCAAAGGTTCATAGGTTGTCTAACATTTAAATTATAATCAAGGCTAAATCAGTCAAACCTAGTAATTTAAGTAATTTAAAAATTTAGGCCAGGAGTTCTGAGTGGGGGAAGAGAGAAAGTGATCTGTTGTGAGGGTGGGGGAAGCCCTTTTGCTTCCTATATTTTATTTTTACTTCCACTGTATAGGCCCCTTCAAAAGCAATGCAAAATATGAAAATCCGCATACAACCTCCAAGTTATTTAGAACTGGAGGGATAGAATGCAATGTAAAGGATATCACTTTGTTGAAGACATCAGAAGTTTGGAAGTGTGATTCCCAGTGTCAAGAATCAAACTGAGGCCATGCTTTTGTCCTTGTTTCTAATGCTTAACTCATTTTTTGGCTTTATCACAAGATCTAAAATTACTTTGCATGTAACCTGGACATCAAAGTCACCAACAGCCACAAAGCCTGTCAGAATTTAAACCAACGGCCCCGCTGGTTTTATTGAGCAAGGCAAGGTTTTAAATTGGCCTTCCTCCAACATAGGGTCAGGAGCGACAGCAACTAATAACTCCTATTTTTGTTTTTTCTCTCCCACTTTTTGAACCACCTTCACACTCCTCTACTGAATGTGTGCGCCCCTCATAATGCATGCACTCCCTACCTGCATTGGCTCTCCTGCGGTTATGCTACTAAACGCTGGAACGGCACCCACATGTGTGTGGATGCTGCTGCCTTGCTGGTCGCTGCCGTAGCTGCACGCTTAAAGGAAGGTGATTGGGAGGAGTTGGGACAGGGTGGGGCTAAGACACCACCGCTGGAACATTCCAGTCTTGAGAGCCACTGGGTGGGGGTGGAGATGAGAGGGGTTTCAAGGACTGGTACCCCCTCACCTTCCCCCCATGGTTACTGCAGGACAGGCCTAGGCAGGGCCAAAGCTCTTGAACATCCATCCCCTGCCACCCCCCGTTGGTCAGTGGACGCAGTACTATTTACCAGCCCTTTTCCTTGCCCCCGAGGCTCCACCCCTCTGTCCCCTGGGTGCCAGAGTGACTGTAGCAGCGGCTTTGAGCGCTGCTGTATGGATGAGAGCTGGTTTGTCACCCCTCCCCCCTGTTTCACTGCAGAAGGCAGCACTCCTGAGGCCAGCCCCATGGAGGACCTTCTCATTGAGCACCCTAGCATGTCTGTCTACGTCTCCACCGGCAACCAGTCTGTAGCCGAGGAGACGGGGAGCCTCGTGCTACAGGAAACCAGTCAGAGGTGAGTGGCTCAAATACCTGTCTACAGTCTCTCAAAGGCATTCTGTCATTTCAAAAGGGTTGAGCTCAGTCACGCTTTGAAGGCTTTAACATGCAGAAATATTCCGCTAGTTTTGAAACCCTGTGCCCTTCAAATTGCTGCAAACTTCTGCCAAGAGCGTGGTGGTCCAGACCATTGATAGTACTACAACATGTCAGCTCAATCCTCTTAATCCTGAGCACTCTTTCACATGTATTCTCTGTAGTTCAATACAGTAAACCCTGGCAGAGCACCAGTTACTCCTGTTCTGGCGATATTCTAATGAGACCAGCCATGTTGTTGAAGCTGATACCTTGGTTTGTTTCAAGAACCATTTGGGTGAGATAACATCAGCTGTTATGAGTGCCTCCCTTTTGTTTGTAGTTATTTATGTATTTAGTAGATGGCAAAAAAAAACACAATTTTAAAGCTGTTTTGGGCAGTATTTTAAAGTTTAATTTAAATTTATTGTGGTTGTATGAAGATAATAATAAAACTGTGCAGCTTTACTATATTGTACTATTTACTTTCCTGTTACTTTATTAGTCCTAAACCCACCATCTACTGGTGTAAGCAGGACAATTTTGAAGCCTCACTTTGCCAGCAGATTTGAATGACTTGGTAATCCCTGGCTGTGTAACCCCCCTTCCCTCCCCAGGGTGGACCCCGCCGTCTCAGCAGGGCGGGCTCTCTCCAGCCGCCCGCCTCGCGGCTCCGCCTCCCAGGCAGCGGCCTTGGCCAAGGTGGCCCAGGTGAGCCGGGTGCAGAGGGCCAAGGCCCGTTCGGAGCGGCGCCAGCTGGGCCGCCATCGCCTGCAGCGCCAGAACCGCCTCCGCGACCTCCCGCGGCACAGCGGGCCAGCCCGCGGGGGCTTCCTGCACCAGCCCTGCCAGCGCCGCTTCAACTACTGAGGCCAGCGCCATCACCACCATCCCCCCCCGCCCTACAGTGTAGTCAGCACAGGTCATTTTAACCTTCGAAATAAAACCACGTACCACTACTAGCTCTGCAAAGATGTCTACATTTGCATTGCTAATATGAGAAACTTAACCTTTCGTGCCCACCAGCTCTCACTTTCTCTCTCTCCCTGGATTAGTGGTGGGCAACCTGGCGCAGGACAGTCTCGTTTAGATGTGGCCCCTGGAAACTGTGGACTTTAAAATCTGGACTAAAATCGGTTTTAATAAGGTGCTGTTACAACCATTTATAGTAATCCCTCAATATATGTGCTTTGTTTGGTCCTCCTAAGTTAAAAGGTTGTATAAGGGAAATTAAATGACTTCCTGCGTTATAATCTCCAATTGGTTCCAGAGCGCACAAATGTTCCATGAAACACGCAGACTTTACCTTAATACAGCACTGAATGGCACCTAAGTATGAAAATGATAACATTTCTAATTAATTCAAGTAACGTGCATAAAGTTATCGCTCGATAAACACTAGGTAGAAAAACAATAACACTCCTGCTCATTTACAAGTGCAGTACAGTAGTTACATCGTTAACATTAGTCGTTAGCACATGCATAAACATTAGGTACTATCCTGTACTATATGCACTTAACACACACAAGCCTTTATTATAAAGAAATCCTCAACTTTAAAAAAAAAACGGATTAAATTCAGCATCCAAGAAGATGAGAGAAAAGAATCTCAGCAGTTCTGTACGAGAGCCCAGCTCCTAAGAGTGAAGATCTGTTCGTTAATTAAAAAAAAAACAGTATGAACAAACACTCATATAGGGGTTGTTCATATAATGAGGAATTACTGCACTATAAAAAACATTAATTAAGGTTTCCCGTGGTCCTGCTGTTTCTTGTAAGAGTTGTTGCTGGAGGCTGAGGCTAACCTCCAGGGCCAGAAATATAAACCTCCACTCTTCCCTGTGGCTGCCACTCACTGTAGAGACCACAGATGAGAACCACGTCCCTTTATCTTGTACTGTCCCAGCTAACAACCCAGGAGCTGAGTAATGCTCATTCTAGTTACCATTTTACATTCTTACCCAAGAGTACATAGGGGTCGAAACCTGGACTGAACACCAAGAGAGACTTTTGGGGAAAGGTTAAGTCTATTTCAAAGGTCTACCTCTTTTCTATAAAGGGCTTTCATACAGTACAGTGCAGCTGGATGTCTCCCTCTTCAATCTGACTGGAGTGTGTTTTCATATTAAAAGTCCAGTCTGATATAAGAGTTGTCATGAGGCATCAGCGGAATGTCTGACGCTGTTAAAGCAGGTGGTTTCCCCGCTAGAAAGGCTGAACGACAGGAACTGTGATGCCAAGTGTTAACATATTAAAAAATATCTGCCAATTCCCATGAGGTGGAAAACAGCAGCAACTCAGGTTTCAATTGCAGGATTGGCTTTCTGTCCCGCAGCAACTAAAGGGTAGAGAAACAGGTCAGGTGGAAGTTAAATGAGTGGTGTGGAGATTTTTTAATACTTCGAGGTTTTAGCATGTAGGTGATGTGGTAAGAGAAAGAGTAACAGATTAACAGGATGTCAGTGAAGAGAGAGGAAGAGGAAGGGAAATGGAGCAGAAAGGAAAAAAGACACAGCAAACCGTTTACTGTAAATAGCAGTTTCTTTAACTTTAAAACCCCAAAAAGATTTGGCCTACATCGCTCATTAACTTTAGAGTAGTTAATTAATCTGAGAATCCAAACCAGCCATTTCTTTATATATGATATAAAGGTACAGTATATGATTGGCTTGGTTAACGTGTTCCCTGTATAGCCACAGTTCTTTGTGTCTACAAATTTCCCAATTTGTAGCCAAAGGAAACTATTTATACAAGCAAACAATTATAGCATGAAACACTTCACTGGACTTCATTCAGCTTAGTGGATGAACTAAGGATTGCTTACTAAGGAAAAGCAAGGAAATCCATCTATGAAGTGAAGCAATGGTATCATTATGCAATACAAAAATTAAAACATCACACTTTAGTTTAAGGGATGCCAAAAATAAATGTAGAATCTGTAAGGAGTTATTGTTACTAACATGCAACAAATCTACAGCAGGGGCAGGTTGTTATCATAAGTACAGCTCTCTACTAATGTTTTATTAACAAATTCCAGTTTTAAAACTTTTTAAAAAGTCATTTACAACCACTACTCTGAAGTACTACCAAAACAAGGTAAATATACTGTATATGGAATGAGACTTGTCTCATGCTGCGGAAAAAGTAAATATTCAACTGAAGTCCAGTCCTGCCTATGAATCATTTTAAGCTTGAAAGACTTTTAGGTTTTGCTGCATACAAGCTTGTTAGCTGCCACCATCTTATCATGTGCAGGTCTTAGTAGGTGTTGCATTCAATGAGCAACTGAAGACATTTATTGGACAAAAATTAGTCCAACCAAGGATCCTTAAAGATCACAGGAGGTCAGATTTTAGATGATATATTTCTTCTGCCATTTATTGTACAACGGTTTCAAGATGAGCAAAGTAATGGACAGATGATAAGACAGACTACCTTTATCTTTATTAAGATTGTTGCATGAAGCCTCTCCTGTTTGAAATGTCCAGACACTCAGTTTCAGGAACAGCTGTCAGACGCTGCATTATGTACAGTATGAAAGCCTTTCTTTTCTAGTTCATGAGTTCCACCAGTTACAATTTACAGCATTGCCTAATACAGCTGATGTCATGACAGCACACGACATGACAGTGTGAGTAACACTACAGAGTACAGAGTACAAAGACCACTCTCCTTTCTCATCCTGGCTTGTGTTAACGTCAACATACATATGTGTATGTTAAAACTTTCTTCTTCAAGCACAGAGAAGAAGAAATGCACTTCAATCAGGTAAAACGCTAAATGCAGTGTAAAGACAAAAAATCCGATTTCACTTTAGCGATCAGTATTTGTGAAAAAGAGAGCTCTATTGCGTTCACATATATGATTCCTTGAAGTGTTTCCATCACTGAAGCATGTGAAGTCTCATGAGTCAGAATGTGACTGTTTCATTGCCTTTTTCTTTAGAAATAGATTCAAATGTAATAATGTCCTCCACCTAAAGATATACATATATTTTAAAAAATAACTATGGTGCTGAAGTATATAAAGATATACTTGTCTGTAAATTATATAAAACATGGATGTAAGTTTGCATAATGTTTCACATTCTTTTTGAGTCAAGTTTTAGCAGTGTGCTGTTTGCTGTTATTTTTTCTGAACAGTAAAATCTGTGTGTGAGAGGACTGTGATGTCGAAGAAAAACTGAAAAGTTCTTGAGATGCTAGAAAATTATATCCGTGATGTTCACTGTACTTTGTTTTTTCTTCTGTGAGTGTGTTGTTTTTGTTAGGAGGTTTTAAGACAGGGCTGTTAACATTTTTCAGTACTTTTACATTAACTCACCACTTGACTGCTTAGTCAGAAAGAAACCAAATTAATCCAGCTCAGCCTATGGCATTAAGCCTACAGCTTCACAACAGTAGCAGAGTTAGAAAAACAAGTTTATAACATTACATAGTTATTCAGCTGCAATAAAACCAATAGAAATTTCTTACACACTGCCCTCTAGTGGCCGTGAGTGTATGTAGTTATATAAAATCACATGGTATAAATTGTATGTTTTCAAAAAATGTTTTTGCAGTTTTTTTTAGTTCTGTGCAATTCAGTGGGAATGAGGGTGAAAACATATTAACAATGTTTGAGTGTGATTAATTTCAGTCTATAATTGCTAAGTCTACTTAATGCTTTTATACTGAGATTCCACATCTTGCTTGCTTTTAAAGTGACCAAATGAAATCTATGATTAGAGTTCTAATGAACAATTCATCATTTTGAGATTCATATTTCATGAATTTTGAGATTGTGTCTTCCTACAGCCAGAATATTACACCCCTGGCTAGTATAAAACAGTTTAAAAGCTCTAGAAACCACTTCTTCCCATCTGTTTGCTAATATTTCAAACTGCAAAAACCTCTAAATTTAACATACAATCTGCCGCAGTCTAGTGGTAGGTAAAGCTCCTAGGGTTGTTACCTCATTTAGAATCTTTTTTTTAAATGAAAAACTAGTAATATCTACCTGTTACTAGATCAGATCACATCCAGCATTTTTCTTTATACGATGGCTGATTCTTTGTATTAGCTTTTTTTAGATATTATGTCACTAGGTGTAATCCTTCCAAGAAGGTGCAGTAAATTGGGCATTTACAGGTACAGTAAACGCATATCCTTTACAGAAAACCTTATGAAAGGTAATGTACTTAACACCACATCAGGCCAGCTTCTGCTCTCTAGTCCCTTTCCCTCATTGCTAAACCATAGTGCCTCTTTGGTTCGCCTGTCTTCTATTTCAACTAGCCAAGGGCAAAGAGGATGATTATTACCAAGGCTGTCTTCTGCTCTCATTTTTCCATTTACTGTATGTTTGATGACTGAGAAAAGGAGCATTTCCACCTTGCAGTGCTGGAGCCCAGGGTTCAATTGCCGGGATGCTGTCTGTGTGGAGTTTGTATGTTCTCCCCGTGTTCACATGGGTTTCCTCTGACCGTCCCAAAACATGGATGGATGTTTGCCCGGCTCATGGGGGCAGCAACTTCCTGTTGCTGTTACCATAACATTTGGTTTTTACAGGACAGGGTTGTTAGCCTTGTGCCCAACCTCCAACATGGAGGACCTGGCGCCCGACGTGGGACACGAACCCACTACCCTGAGAGTATGAGACTCATGCTCTACCAGCAGAGCTAGCTGGGGCCGGGGTCCAAAAACATACTAGCAGGTTAAATGGCTTCTGGGAAAATTGGCCCTGGTGCGAGTGCCCTGCAACGGACAGGTCTTGTCTAGGGTGAATCCCGGCTTGCACCCATTGCTTGCCAGGTAGGGCCCAACTCCTCCTGTATTGGACAGAACAGTTAGGAAGCAGATGGACTCGAGAGTGGACAAGCTGCCCTAGGGTGACAAATTAGTGCGCAAGGGATGCAAAGATTACACAGTGTGAAAAACAGGGAGGAAGGGGGCATCACTAAAAACTTGCTTTTGTCTCCCATTTTGTCATTGATGTGGTTGTGCACTTATAATCCTGGGGGTCAAAGTTTAGGGTCTTACTGGCAGTGTGTCATCTGGTTTAAGACTATTGCACCTCTAATGTGAAATCTTATTTTCTAAGGTATAAGACTTTAATTGGTATAAGACTCTCTCTCTTCTCTACACACCAAGAAGAAAAAGAGAAAAATTAAATCCCCGTTGTATCCTGTACCTGAACATGATGTATCTGATATTCTATGGTGTATGTGCCTTTCTTTTCTGCATGGTTTGTGATGTTTTGAATACTTTTCTATCCCCCGAGGATACCAGTCTGTGACCAGCTGAGACCTATGCAAATAAAGGATGGGTGGTCCAGCACCCATTCTGAACTGCAGGTACTAGATGAAAGATCAATAAACACTCAGGATGAAACCTGAATCATGTATTCTCATTTGCATCACGTGCAGTCAGCTTTTACAACCGGCATCCTCCTTGGTTACAGTCCACACTGTAAGTTCAAACCACTTCCATATTCCAGAAGGAAATTCTTCCCAACTCAGTGCTTCTGGAGAACCAAAAGCATTGTTTTGGTGAAGAAGTCCTGAAAGACTTACTGATACTTCTATTAAATTGGGTGATTTTCAAAGCTGTGGTATAGGAAGTAAAGGTTTAAGATGTACTGTATGCACTTCAACAAGTTAAGCAGCTCCCCGTCTTTAAGGTTGGTGCAGAACAGAGCAGAAAAAAGCATTTTTCAGCACTAACACAAGATTTGATTGTTTGATAGATCAATTGAATGAATAAAAATTATAAAGGTTTACCTATTACTATTATCACTTGCAGTTGCAGTACAAGGCTACATCCAATCTTATCCTGTGGACCTCCTAAATCCATCGCACAGGGGCAACATTACAGCAGGCTTTCTAAGTCTCTTTAAACCATCAGTCACACACAAACTCAGGAAGAGGGTTCAAATCCTTCAATGTTAACGTGAGCCACTTTAGCACCACAGATAATGGTTATTTCTGAGTCATGGGGCTTACAAAACATACTGGACAGGATCCCTAGTTCACTGAACCTGAGCAGTACTGCCTTAACCTGTGAAACATACGGTCAGATGTGCTCCATATGTTGACCTATAGATTATTTCCACCTATATTATTGAGAAGAACCAAGGAACAAGTTATGTGCTGTCACAAAACCATAATTTGTTGCTTTAAAATTAAGAGAAGATCTACCATGATATGAAGAAAATAAGAGCCATTTTTTTTTACTAAAAAGTCAAAGAATTATCACATGGAATTTAAACATACACAATACCTAAAGTCAATTAAGAATAGGGTATTTAAGTTCAATTAGATCACTTAAAAGTGACATTTCGTCTTAGAATGTCATCTTTGAACTGTTAAACTTTAACAGACCTATTTACACACCTGTTGGTTTGTCAGATGGAGAATCTAGAGCGTGCTTATTGAAGAGAAAGCAAAGCAAAAATGAAAGCACAGTGGATGATAGAGGTAAGTCTAAATCAAGACAACTTGATTTTATTATCAATTAACATATCCACAATCTAAACCCACATATTGTTTAAAGACAACTAAGTCCAAGAAGTCCAAGTCCTTTACTGGTTACATCATTGGGATTTCATTTCTGAAAAGTTATTTTTTTTCTAATGCTGTACAGTTATCGGTCAACACAGCTACTGGAACATAAGACTCCTGGAAGGCTACTGGAAGAAAACTGCAAAACAGGTTTAAGAGAACACTGTGTTTTTCATGGAATGTATTCTTTTAAAGTAATTTCAACCTTCAAGCTGTAGAAGGTTACAAAACCTGTTTTTTCCTGTTTTGTACCACACAAATTTGTAGACTATTTCTTAACTTTTGTAATTTGCATTTTTTCCCCAGCTCCTGTGCAGTTCTGGAATTCTATTAAGAACTCAACTCATTTCCTATTGGGCCCTACTAATCCTCCATTAAAAGTCAATTTCATTACAATCATGGGAAAAAAAAGGATTACAAATGAAATTCAAAATTCCAAATGAATACTACATTTGGCCATTATCTTTTAAAGTTATCAGGAGGTTCTGTGGTTGACCATTATATTGTTAGATCTTTTTTACAGCACACATATACAGTACAAGCTACATTAATTATGGACTCATAAGGAAAGAAAGGAAACAAACTTCAAACAGGAACACAAGTAGGAATTTTCCATTTAATGCTCATCTGGATTAAATATTGCAAGCCATAGACAAGCAATGTTTTAAGGAAATTGTAACATTTATTGTGAACATCACACTATTACATGATACAAACCCTTAAAATAGTCATTTAAAAAAATTTCATGTGTTTTACTGTGGTCCATTTCTACAACTTATGTCAGAAATATTCTACAAAAGTATTTACAACCACAAAAATAACAACCAATAAAAAAAAACCCTAGGCATTGGTACACAAATTAGCTTCTATTCACATACAGTACTTAAGACTGAAAAAGCACTTTCAAAGAAAAATAACATAAAAGCCCAAACTAAAACATATTATTTTTCATATAAATTTCTACCCCTACAGTTACATGGGAGGGCACACTCAAGGGTAAATTTGCCCAGGGAATTAATATTGGAGATGCTGGATTCTGGGGGTTTTCTGTCAACTTCATAAACTCTAAAACCGACACTTCATATACTTGTATAGAGAAAGAAAAACTTGTCCCAAAACTACAACTGAACATGGCATCACCTAAAAAATACTTCTTTCCATGAAAGGGGAAACATTTTTATGAAGACACTACTTTACTATGATCTAAAAACCACCCACTGTGACAATGAGGCAAGCGAATCGCACACTTTCAGTCTTATGAACCGAGAAACTGTTTGAAGCTGCCTGGCTGTGATATTAACACCTGGTGAGAGACGCAACACTGTACACATGTGAATTGGTCAAAGCTAGTGCCTCCATAGGTAAAAGGAGTTTCTGTGGTGATTTTTTTAGTTTTCAATATACTTGTTTGTTATTTCTTATTTCCGGTTTTAAATTTCCATATGCAGTTTGGTTTGCCAAAACCTCTGTGAAAGTTTTTTAATTTGAAGACTTTCTCTAAGAACTGTTCTTGCATTGCAGGGGGGGGGGGAGGGGGGTGGCTACAAAGATTACGTATCTCCTACAATTACAAATACTCCATCTCCAGCACACTAATCCCAAGCTTCTGTAACTGTACACTGTCTCAGTACTACATAACCACTTGAACAAATCATATACAGGTAAAACCTGATTGTCTTTGCCTTAAAATCATCAATACAAAACATTCAGTAAAGACCACACTTTGCAGGTTATGATCTTTTGTAGGTAGACTACCGCAGCACAAAAGGGCCTGTGGTTATAGGTTCTCTCCACTCAATGATCTGGTTTAACTGTAAAATTTCATCCTCATTCATTTGGCAACAAAAGAAAATAAAGTTATTCTTTTAAAAAAAGCAAGTATCACTTCAGTCATGGATATTAAGTAGAATGATATATCATGTGCCACCTCACAATAGCTGACTAAGGGCAGAATTAGCTTAAATCAATTTGACACTTACTGAATATTGGTTTATGAGACAGGACCAATCATAGCAATAAGTGAACTTAGAAGAAAATGTGCATAAAATCAGTGACAGGTGGCTTTATTAACTTTAGTAAATCCAGATTTTTAAAAACTATACAGAAATTCTGTTCGGGTTTCTGCCAAAAGGTTACTGCATGACACAGCACTGTTTCTCTAGCAAAAAACTGTGCATAGCCATTTAGTATTTTCACACTAAAGTTCAAAACCCCTTTTTTCAAACGGTTCACTATTTACTATTGGTTCCCATTTGAAATCCATGAAATAATAAAGAAAAAAATCCAACCTTTTCTTTAAAACATAATTAGCAAAATCAGTAATCGTTAACTTCAGAAAAATCAGTTCACTTAGCTGATAACCTAATCAATGGAGTGAAAGAAAGTACATTATAAGTGGGAATTTTCAGCTTTCTAAGATATGTCCAAATTCAGCTTTAAATATACCCAGTACAGTAAAACATGGGCCTGTAAAGTGCTTTGTGGACACAATGCAAGATGTGTAGGATGTGAAAATCTATTTGGGCTCACAATTTAAAAAATAAATACATAATATCAAAAAGCAAAACTATAATTTGGAGAAAGAGGAAAATAATCTTCCAAAGCACAAGAATACTAAAGCCATAATTATTGTTTTTGAAGCCGTACAGGCAAGGGGCTCCAGGATTCTTTTGTCCTTCAAGGAAATGGGCTCCTCAGAACACAGGCATGTAGCAGCCATGGAAATGAAGATGCAGTGCATTATTTCAGCTGTTTCCAGCTAGAGAACCAAGAGCCACTCACAGGGCCTCTGACACAGTCTGGATAACCCCAGACACAAAGGGAGACCTTTCACCTTCAGTCTAGCCCTGTAAAATCAACACCCAGACCACAGACTGGTTCAGGTGGCTCCACAAAAACGTTATATAAATGTAAATAATTATTATTAAATATTAACAGAGGATTTGCCTACCTACAGTTCAGCTTTAACTTTAAAACACCAGTACCACTGTTTTTAACTGCTCCCAAACCAAAACCGTGTCTAAGATTGCTTAATGGGTCCTTACAGGGAATTTATTCAAAAGCAACCCCTGTCTGTAGAAGGTGGAAAACTCCTTATCTGTTCAATTTGCTTTATATGTTCAGCATCAAGTTCCACTTTACAATCAATTTAACCTGAGTGAGCACTCCTGGGTTATTTGTTGGGTTATTATTCACCTGAAAGATCTAAGACCTAGGCTCCACATATAAATCCGGCCATTAACATCTAAAGTAAACCAACCCACAAAATTGCTGTTAAAAAGAGAGCCTGATGAACCGTTTCCTTTTGAAAATGATGCTGTTTAAAACTTTAGCCAATTACTTCAAAAAACATCCCACAGTCTCAATGACAAGATTTCCCTGCTCAACACATTTAAAATGATGCGCTTAACTCATGGTTCCTCTGATATAGTGAATTAGTAAAAAAAACATGTGCTTCCGGCTCTTTTCGCTGTCAAGATGGAGAGGAGCACTCTACACATACCAAAACGTAAAATACCAGCAACATAATTTACAGCTGAACATCGTCCCAGTAAACAAAGCATGAAGGCATATACACAGAATAGCAATCTTGACGTGCGTATTTCCGTCATTTACAGCTGGGACGAAACTATAAAATCAGTCACATCAGGACTATGATTTGTGTAAAGAAAGGGAGAGATAAAATATTGCCAAATAGAAAGGACAGAACCTTAAAATACAAGAATCAATTTTACTGCTAAAACAATGGAGAAGCAGTAATCTACCCTGATGTGTGTTAATGGCTTCCATGATCTACATTAAACAGAGGAAGGTAGTATAAAATTTAATTCAGAGTAGCAACAAAAATTATACAATAGGCATTTTGATGATCAGATGTCTGAACAGAATTATTCCAGCATTTGAAATATGAAAACTCTTCTAAATTAAAACTCACATTGCTGCGGGAAACAACACCAATATTATAATTATTAAAACAATCATCTGTACACAGTTATTTCTTCCATTAGAAAGAAAATTAGCCCAGGAAAATAAAAAAACAAAAATGATCAAAATTCACAAAAATGTACAATTCACAGGTTAACAGTACAGGGGTCATTTTGATTTCCTTCGCTTGGCTTGTGTCGGGCTGGTGCCTGTGTTTGAATCTGTAAAGACAGCAGGGAGTTTAATTTAATTAAGGAATATTAACCAAGGGAGTATGTATTTTAAAAAAAACAGCTTAAAACGTTCCTCAAACTCCTGGAAAACCACATTTGTGCAATGTTGTTTTTTTTCCGCATTTTTGGAGGTTCACTCTACATAGCAAATGGATTTCACAATGTTTTGTAACCCAGTTTTCCAAAAACAGGACCTGCAGGTGCACAAACCATTCTGGCAACAAAGAAACAGGAGGGACCTTCTGAAGACGACTTGGTGAGCTCCCCACAAAACAGCCAACCACCTACACACCCCGTCCAAATGCCCTTCTTGTTAAACCTGAGCGTATTATTTTGCAGTCATCAAGTGCAGGCTCAGAATGGGTCACGGCGATGAGTCCTCTAAAAACACATCTTAAAATCCTCTTTAAGTGACCAAAATTTGAATCAAACTGTGGGGAAAGCTGTTGGGCCCCATAATTAGTGGAACTGGATATTTGGGAGAAACAAACCTACCAAAACAGCTGCCCACAGGGACCAAGACTGGACACTCCTGTGTCAGACCAGGGGTTCCCAAAACTGAAACTGGGGGACCTCTATCTCTTCTTGCTTTTGTTTTAGCTGAGTTCTTAATTGCAGGCTAATAAAATTTCTATTTTGTGTCATATTTGGAAATTTACGAGTTTCAGAACTTCCCTTATTTAGGTGCGTTGTCTGAAATGTAGCCAAGTCAGCCGCCGCAGATGGAAAAATAAACGCTCATTGTGGGAACGACTGATGCATCATTTCATTTCCAGCTGTGTCTGTTCTTCAGAAATGAATACGTTTAAAACCCTTTTAGTCATAAATAACAGTAAGCAAGTGTTTTCTCCAGACAGAGATTGGCTGAAGGTTTGTCTGCTGTTAACTGCGGGAAACAATTTGCTTCAAGCAGAGCGTTTTTTGAAACTCGGTACTGAATGCAGAAAGAAACCAAGTCTAAACAAACAAGCCGATCAGTTAAAGCCCTCAAAGAGCATCAGTGATGGAGAGCTGGACCAGCAGACAGTGGGTTGGGGAAGCACTATTTTAGAGAGACAATCCGGCGGTCTTCTCGAGCCCCGGTCACTCGTGCTCCGGGACCCCGGCCCACCCGGCAGTGGGCAGCGATTTCTCCTCTGTACCTTTCAGGGCAGTGCTGGCACTGGCCGCGCCCGGCCTGGCCGACCTCTTCCTCTGCCCGTTCTCCGCAGCCTCCAGCGGCCCCGCTCCTTCCTCCGTGTCCCTGTCGGCCCGGGAGCTGCGCCTGATCGAGGCCTTCGGTTTCTCGGGCACGCCCTTGGCCTCCCTAAAGAAAAGCGGGAGGCGCCGCCATTAGGGACAGCTAGAACAGTCCCTGCGCATTCTGAAGACCTAGGCACCGCGTCTGGATTGCTTTGGGCTGTGGCTTTGATCACACCAGACTGCAGGGGTGTACAGGAGAGTGTTTCTCTTGTGCTGTTTTTCCCCACCTAACACAGATACCGTCCGACTTCGCCTGATCGTATAGGAATGGCGACGTCGTGTGCAAGACCAAGCTACGCACATACATACCTCGGGTCAAGATGGACAGGCGTCTTTCTTTTCTTTACAGATCTGTTATAGAAGTGGAAAAACAGCAGTAAACTAATATTGAATAACATTTTTAGAAATGTATCATCTAAAAACTAAGTGATTCGGAAGTCTTACACTGACACAGAGCAGCTCGGTACACCAAATTAGGGAATGGAAATGGAAAAGAAAACCACCAGAGTTAACCCATAAATCATAGAATATACTGAATATACTATTTACTTCCATCTGATATAGAAATACTCAAGATCCCTAATCAATATAGATTATTTAAACTCCATAACTATTTAAGCAGAGAAAATAAGAGGGCCTCCAACAAAGGTCAAAATCATTTATGATTTTTTGCTTTAAAAGGATATCTGTAAATTTTAAAGACTTCTTACCCATGTTCTGTTACAGTAGCTGCAGCTTCATCGCCTGCAAAAAAAATAAATGTTACTACTAATGACTAACATTCAAGCAGTTTCCCTTTAAGAACGATCAAAATAAATGTTTCTGGATATTTTTTTTTAAATAATGTGCTAAGACTTTACTAAAAATAAACCCATGTGGTTTTACCCATGGTATATTGCAAATTTGATCCTTTCTCATTAAGTAAGAAAATAATGAATTTCTCCATTGTTTCACTTGTTATTAAGAATATGAAGCAATTATGATCGGCTTACCAGTTTTCTCAACTGTAGGGAGCTCTTGCTGTGTGGGTTCAGGCTGACTGGATGCTGAAATCAAAACAAAGGAACTGGTGAAGGACAAACATTGAGGTAGAGAGCATTCCTTTAACTAGGTTTCGGAAATGTAAACATTTGCACATAACTCTCGAATATTAATTATCATGCATTAACTGCAAGTATTTTTATCTTGATGTCTGCCACTGCTTTTTTCCTATGCTGGATGATAGACATAAACATTAAGAACCAGTAAGTTCCACAGAAAGCTCAGTTATGAGGTTCAGTTACTTGTATTGTTTATTGCTATAGAAGCAGCAGTTAGCACTCACTGAGGCCAGTTCAGCTCTTTAACACACCACTACGCTGCATCATGATCGGAAAGAGCAATGTTAATTTTCTAAAGTAAATATGAGGTTTAAAATTGGAACTTTGTTAGCAGTTGAACAATTATTATTCTTATTCCTCCGCTATGGCTAAAGTGCAGATGAAAGTGGATTTTATCCTGTGATAATGATTATTTCTTGATTGAAATAAATTACCTGTGCTTTGAGTGTTCCCTTGCAACCCTTTGTCCTGTGTCAGGTCCTTCTGTTGCGCTAGCTGACTGGTCTCGGGCACTGGAGGAATAGGAGGACCCTCTGTGGGAGTAACTGGTGTTGCTGATGCAGGCGAGCTGCCCACAGAATTAGGAGGCCCAGCAGCCGATCCGGCAGATGCAGGTACAGGGGCAGGAGCAACTTTCAAGGGGGCAGGACGCTGTTGCTCTCCCTCAGGAAGGTTGGTCTGTGCACTCACATGAGAAGCCTGATGACATGGGCTCTCAACAGCTGATCCTGGCTTTGCTTCAACCACAGGTGGTGTTGGATGGTCCTCATTTTTTGGTGTAGATTCAGACACACCCACACTTGTTTTGGTCACACCCATCTGGCCAATTTTCTCAAGCTTACTCTTGCTTGATGTAGCTGTAGGAGACATTGGGCTCCTCCTGGCATGTACTGCTCCTGGACTGGCACAAGGTGGAGGACTAGTCAGAGGCTGGGAGGATGGGGAAGGAATGGTATTTGGACGTGGTGAAGGTAGCTCTACAGGGCCAGGCTTGGACAAAGGAATCTCAGCATGGTTCCCTTCTTTTGGAGTTTCGTGGTGCTGCTGTTGGGACTGGTTAAAGACATTCGCAGGAGGTCCCTGGCTTGAAGACGCCTGAACCTGTCCCAGGACAAGAGGACGAGTGGTCTGGGTATTGGGTGGGTTGATGGAGGCAGGCTGAGTGGTTGTAGATGCTGGAGAAAACTGAATATTAGATGGCATTTGAAGTGGCCCAACCATAGTGACTGGCTGGGTCATCACATTTGTACTAGGAGGCATGGGAGAAGCAGGCACCTGAAAGATGGGGTTGATGAACACTGGTCCTGTAATAAACTGAGCTGGGCGGGAGGTGGCAGGGGCCGAGGTGGACGCCTGACTTTCAGAAGACTTAATATTCTTATTAGGCACAGTTACTACAGTAGACACTAAGGTGGGGGGAACATGAGTTGAAGCACTAGTAGATGAACTGATCTGATTGGAGGTGACAAAAACCGTGATCTGGCTGGAAGGAATGGAAGTTGATGATGCTGGCCTCTGCATGACAGCAGGCACATTTGGCACCGGGTTGGTATTTGGGAAGGTTTCTGAATCATTCACAACAGCAAGAGTGGCTGCATCATTGCTCTGTGAAGTGCTAGGATTCTGAACGGCCTCCTGATCCCCTGCAAACCGAGGAGACACTTTCCTATTCTGATCATCTTCTTGAGGACCATCCAGAATGGGCTGTAAGGAAACATTGGGAGCGCCTGAAATGTCCAGAAGCTGGCCGAGAGACGTCGGAGCATCTCTCAGAGTAGGAGAAGGAGCAGTTTTGGAATCCTCTGGAGTTGAAAGCAGTGGCTGAACTTTCTCTGGAACAGAGGCATCTCGTCTAGATGACTCCTCAACTATAGACTTCTGTTCTTGAGTAGCACTGGGACTTTTTATCTCTGGTAACGAGGGGTCTCTTTGAGACTGTGCTGTATGGCGTGCTTCCATTGCTGTGGTTTGGCCTTCCTTGTTCATTTCCGTAGGATTGCCAAGGGGAGAAGGGAAAGGGTTCTGAATGTGCTGCGTGCCTGAAGTACTGGATGGCACAGTATTGCCAACAGAACTGGGTAAAACTGGAGGTGGATTCCCTAATATATTTTGGGGATTCACCATGGGTTGTTGGTGCTGGGGAGAAGTAAGAGCAAGCTTGGCCTTTGCATTTTGTCTTCCAGGACTTGGGGTTGTCTTACGACTAGAAGCTGGGCTGGACCGCCTGCTGTTGCTTGGGCTGCTCCTCTTTGCAAGACCTCCTGTGCTAACCTTCTCCAGCTTGGTGCCTGTACCACCTGCATTGCTGCCTGAAGTGAAAGTCTGTTGTCCATTGTTACTGTTACCTAGAGACGTTAGACTGGACGGAGCCTGTCCAATGGCTTTCAGGGTGGTAGGGTTAAGACCCTGCTGGTCAAATCCTCGATTCAGATTGGGCTGCCTTGGGGGCAAAGGGATATTAATCTGAGGGGGGAAAAGGCCAGCAATGGAAGCATTTAACCTCTCAGGAGAGAGATTGATTTCAGAGGGTTCTGTGCTCGGAGGACGGTTGGTTGGAGTATGTGGATAGTAGGGCCTAGGACTGGCCCGGTTTGGTGTCTTAGGCCGAGAAGCCTGCGAAGTGGTGGGAGCATTGGGAAAATGAAGACCATGTGAACCAGGTATGGGACCCGACTGCTGCGGCTGCTGCAACTGATGCTGAGGGCTAGCACCCTGATGCTGGGGAAGAGGTGAAGGCCCAGGCTTCATCATTAGCTGGCTAGCACCTGGGTTGCCAACTATCTGTGGTCCACCATTTCCAGCCTGGTGACCCATTTCAGAGGTTGAACCATCCTGCAGAGTGTGCATGCCAGCAACTTCCTCAGAGCTTAAAGATGGGACAGCCTGTGCTGCTTCCCCAAGAGGCATTCTCCTTGCAGCCAACTGTGGGTTTACCATTAGAGGACCTCTGGGTTTATCTGGGGAAGGAGGAATGGTGCCTGATCCTTGTAGACTGATCATCATTGGCATACTGCCTTGTTGGGGAACTGGCATCCTCTGCCCATCTGTTGGATTAAGGGGCCCTCTAGGCTGAGGTCCTCCCTGAGGCAGAGGTAACCTGACTGATTTGGGATCCTGCTGCATCATAAGCATCATCATCATTTGTTGTTGTTGCTGTTGCTGCTGCTGTTGTTGTTGCTGTTGCTGCTGTTGTTGCTGTTGCTGCTGCTGCTGTTGTTGCTGTTGCTGCTGCTGCTGCTGTTGCTGTTGCTGATGCTGCTGCTGTTGTTGTTGTTGCTGTTGTTGTTGTTGCTGCTGTTGTTGTTGTTGCTGCTGGAGCTGATTCTGGTGCATCTGAGGTTGGCCCTGGGACATCACCCCTGCCTGGCCTGGTGGCAGACCCTGCATCTGTTGCTGCTGTTGTTGCATGAACTGAATGGGTATTTGCTGCAGGGTTCTTTGGTCTCCAGGTTGAGCAGGAAACCCTAAAAACACCATATAAAGACCAATGAGTCAAGGAACCAAATACAGAACACAGAACACAAAACACAAATACAGATGTTGAGCAGATCATCAACAACTACTATATACCTCTTCCTTGTGGGACGTCTACACTTCTCTGCTTCTGCTTTACCACCAGCCAGGAATTTACAACAGGCCCCAAGTGATTCAACTACTGATTTTTCCCCAAAACAAAAGGAATATATTGGATTAAGGCTAGAATGTAAATAAAGCAGCGAGTTCCATGTTCTACTACTGACCTGGAGGCCTATTTGTGAAGTCTGAAATCTTTGGGCCAGCTGTGTCCATTCCCACTCCTTGCTCTCCAGTCAAGGCCTGTCCCTCAGCATCTTCCATGCCAGGAGGTCGTCCATCAAGTCCACTAGAGCCAAAAAAATGCCCCTCAATTAAAACATTACCCCTACAAAACCAACTTTTCCATTGTGTTTTATTTGTAATATAATGGCAGAAAAACTATTTCGGTCCTAAAACTAGGAATTTAATTACTCATTTGTACATGCATGCTTTTAGCATGTGGTCTTAAGCTTAAATCAATATGTGGGTAAACTCGTGGAAACAGGTTTACACAACGGTTTTACCGTGTCCGCAAGAAGAGAAGATACTGAATTTTCCTCACCCAAGACCATCATCTGGCTGCTGTCCTGGTGGCCCACCGTTATTGGTTTTCTTCTTGCGTGGTGGTTTCTTCTTCTTGGGTTTGGTCTGGTTAACTCCTGTTTGCTTTCCCCCTTGACCAAACTGACTGGCCGAAATATCGCTCTGCAGCAGGTTGACCAGAAGGGGACTGGTCAAAGTTACATCTTTGTTTCCAGGGAAGCCACCAGGTTGCACGCAAGGACTCCCCATGGGCATCTGACCGCCAAACTGGGTATTGAAAGGCATTCCATGACCAGGAAAATGTCCATTACCAACCTGCATATGAGAGGGGCCCACAATTCCCTGTTGCTGTGGTTGCTGGGATTGGACATCTGGAAGCATCTGCTGCAATGCCATCTCTCCAGCACTACTACTGGGGTCACTAAGCTGCTGTGGCTGTTGCTGTACCACCTGTTGTTGCTGCTGTAGTTGTTGTTGCTGCTGTTGTAACTGTTGTTGCTGTTGCTGTAGCTGTTGTTGCTGCTGCTGTTGTTGTTGTAGATGTTGTTGCTGTAACTGTTGCTGCTGTAGTTGCTGCTGCTGCAGTTGTTGTTGTTGCAGTTGCTGCTGCTGCTGCTGTTGTTGCTGCTGCTGAACCAAATGATGGCTTCCTGGAAGCCTCATGGGCTGTCCATGGAGGCCCATTACTTGGTTGGGGTTGCCATTCATAGGAATTTGTTGCGATTGTTGCGGCTGTTGTGTTGCTTGCTGTTGCTGCTGTTGAGCTAACTGAGTCTGAAACTGGACCAGACCGCCCTGCACATTAGGTGAAGGCCCCCTCATGATCTGTCCTTGCATTACACCTGCCTGACCCTTAGCTCCAAATTTGTTCCCTTGTATCTGACTGGCAATCATTTGCTCCATCATAGTGTTCTGCGGCAGGATGACCTGATGACCCTGGCTGCCCATTACTTGTCCATGACCTATCATGGTCTGGCCCTGCTGGGGCATCATCTGTTTTGGAGGAGTCATTCCTCGCTGAGGAATCATATTTGGGTTCTGCCCCCCAGTAAGAATCTGCCCCTGGTTGATGATCTGAGCCCTGGATAGTACTGTCTGCCCACTTTGGCCTTGGACCATCTGACCTGGGGATGAGGGGATGGGCTGATGTTGCATTCCTATCATTTGGGTCTGGATGCCCTGTGAGGGCTGCCCCATGCTACCAGCTGCAGTGCTCCCAGGAGGCTGGTTGTTCATGCTACCATGAGGACCCATTACATTCGGCTGAACATGGGTTCCCTGCATATGGTTGGATACAGAGGCAGAGGGCTGTACACCTGGATTAGAGAACAGAACATAATACAAAATTAGAAAACAACAAAACAAAAATCGGGCTGCATTTTCTGCATTCACCTGATGATCTATGATCAAATTCAACATTTTCTGCAGAATTCATACGGGATACACATACCTGCATGCTGAATGCTCTGGCTGCTCTGAAGCTGGGGATTTGTGTTTACAAGGGTTCCCGAAGTGCTAGGTGTCACTTGGCCCTGAAGGAAGTTCTGGTTGCCCTGTAGATTTTGGAACCCCATGGGCAGTCGTTTGGGAATGCCTAAAAAGACGACAGCAATACGTAAGATGCATCTGCAAATGTACTGCTATTACTTACTCTAACTCATTTTTTGTATGTAATGAACTGAATTAAAAAACAAAGCTATGGAATCATATTTATTCTGCAAAGTTAGAATATTTTAAATAGGCACTGAATATCTAAAAATTAATGATGAGATTAAAAGACCAATATGAACAGATAGCTAACTACATAAGTTGTGCTACATGACAAATCTGTTAAATACTGTAGATTATTTAAGGGGAACTGCAGTCACAACTTCTCAGACCGGTTATAAAATCTCATCAACAAAATAAATTTTGCAAATACCGAATTAAGCACAAAATCCTGAATTTTGTGAAATTACTGTACGATCACCACATTGTCACAAACTGCTGGTCTTGCCACGGGCGAGAGCGAGAGTTGGTGAGGATCGCAACATGAAGCAGCCCTTCCTGCTCACTAGTCACAGCCTTTACTTAGTAATGCGATGTACAGGCGAATAAGTACAGGCTGTGCAGCAGACATTACACCGCAGAAATGTTCCAAGGTGATCTGTAGTATTTGTCGGCAGAACCGTCTCAAAGTCAAGACCAATATTTCTATTGGATTAAAAGAGATGTATGGCAATATGGCTCTGCGCATACCTGAAAATGTTGTCTATTTAGTGATGTAAATTGGAGGATTTATACATGATCATGTACATTTTACTTTCAATGTAGTTTGAAATGCACTCATCGATGCCGATTCTCTCTAAACCCAAAATATAAAATAAGTGTTGCAGTTCCCCTTGAATCACTATTACTAGATCCCAATAAGTCAGACATAAAGGAAAGTGAACAACACTTGGGATTGGACAGAAGACCAACTTGCCTCCCATTCCAGGGTGGGATCCCTGAGGGATCTGTCCTTGCTGGGCCATCACCATAAATCCAGGCTGCATATTTCCCTGCGGTCCTAACACAGCCCTGCCTGGGGAGCTGACAGCCTGGGGAAAGCCCTGCGGGGCTGGGGGGCGAGGGGCCAGCTGAGCTGGGCTCTGTCCCATCATCGGCGGTGTCCCAGGAGAGCCCTGCTGGAAGGGCGAGGGAGAGGAGACGGGGGACTTGGAAGTGAGGTGTGTCTGCGGGGCTGCAGAAGGAGGTGGAGGTGGGGGGCCCCTAGGTCCAGCCACCACAGGGGGTCCCTGGAGGTTTTTGGGCTGAGGGGCTGCAAACTGGGGGTTCCCAGCCTGCTGAGGTTGCTGCCCCATAGCATTGAAGGCCTGTCCAGCTTGCTGGCTGCCAAAAGGGTATGGAGGGGGAGGATGACTGGGGGTCTGAACCGTTGCCAGGGAGGGACGTGTTGCCATCTGCGCTGGGGGCATTTTCTTCCAGGCAGGTCCGAGGGGCCCCTGGGCTGGCGGGGGCTGGAGAGCGCCCGAGGGCAGCTGGTTCCAGCCCGCTGGAATGGGGATCTGGTTGGGCGGCGTGAACTGAGTGCGAGCGCCGCTTAACGGGGGGTGCTGGGGCTGCTGTTGCTGCAGCTGCTGGAGGGCGGCAGGGTTCATCTGCCTGGCGGCCTGCACGGCCGGCATGTGGTGAGCCTGGGCCTGCAGGGGGGTGGGCACGTGAGGCGGCGGCTGCACCTGCTGCTGCTGCCCAGCCAGACCCGACAGCAGGGGGTCCATCGTATCTGGGAGGAAGAAGCCACAGGCACAAAGATTAAAACCCAAATCGCTCCGTATGCGACAATAAGTTATCACAACAAATATCTAGAAGATGCCGGCAACTTAACGGACTCCAAAGATTTCTCATAGACTCGTAGAAAATCATACGAATATGGTTTGATTTAAAAAAAAACATAAAGCACGTGTTTTCCTACATTTTACTTAAGAGTTTTAAAAAATGATTTGCTTGTTAGGAAATCGCCGTAAATTTTGAAGGGGGGAAAACCACCAAAGAAAAACTATATTTTTATGCTCATTTATCCTTTTTGAACCAAAAATGCACAAGAAATAATTCTTCATACACATTGTTGAAGACAACAATGACTGATAATAATGTGATGCCGTCTAAAGCACATGGCCTGAAGTGGACGTTTCCAAAGGGAATTTGTTAAAGCTGTTTTATTGAGGTAGAGAAGTGAACAAACTCAATAAAGCAAGGCTGAGCACCCGCCTTCAAATGTTGCCATCCTGACCAGGTGGCACTGGATACAACTACACAAAAGGGCTCACATTATTATATAGATAATATTCATTTAAATTGTTACAAGATTCGAAATTGCACCTCTCTTTTTTACTTAAAAATAAGGTTGGCATTAGTTGCCTTTTTTCTGATGCTCCTTAAAATGACCTTTTCCACTAGCTCATCGGAAATCCATCCATTTTCTAACCCCTTCCTCCGATTCGAGGCTGAGAGGGAGCCAGAGCCCACCCAGACGTGCAACAGGTGGAAGGCAGGATACACCCCTGATGGGATGCCAGCCCACCACAGGGCAAACACACAGACGCGTTTTGCATACTTGAAGCCAATCAGCATGGTTTTATACTAAGGAAGGGAACCTAAACAGCTGGTGGAAACCCACACGAACACAGGGAGAATATAATAATAATAATAATAATAATAATAATAATAATAAATTGCTTACACTTATATAGCGCTTTTCTGGACACTCTACTCAATTATTATTATGAAGCTCACCAGGTGTGAGCCTGGTCAGTACCTGGATGGGAGACCTCCTGGGAAAAACTAAGGTTGCTGCTGGAAGAGGTGTTAGTGGGGCCAGCAGGGGGCTCTCACCCTGCGGTCCATGCGAGTCCTAATGCCCCAGTATAGTGACAGGGACACTATACTGTAAACAGGCGCTGTCCCTCGGATGAGACGTAAAACCGAGGTCCTGACTCTCTGTGGTCATTAAAAATCCCAGGGCGTTTCTCAAAAAGAGTAGGGGTGTAACCCTGGCATCCTGGCCAAATTTCCCCATTGGCCCTTACCAATCATGGCCTCCTAATAATCCCCATCTATGAATTGGCTACATTACGCTGCTCTCCTCCCCACTGATAGCTGATGTGTGGTGAGCGTTCTGGCGCACTATGGCTGCCGTCGCATCATCCAGGTGAGGCTGCACATTGGTGGTGGTGGAGGGGAGTCCCCATAACCTGTAAAGTGCTTTGAGTGGAGTGTCCAGAAAAGCGCTATATAAGTGTAAGCAATTATTATTATTATTACATGCGGTTCTTTTTTTCCCTGAGTTGTTTTTAAATCTAGCACATTCCATTTTTCAAACTTCTAATGTGCATAATCAATGAAACGTGTACATTCTTGTCATTATTTCTTAATGCAGCAGCATTCCATACCATTATGCAAGAGGATACTAATGTTACATTTACAAACTCTATTACAAACATATTTGGCCGATGAGCACCTATACAACTGAGTCATTCACATATTTAAAAAAAACAAGTACCGTGTTTGCCAAGTTGTGAGCAATCAATATCCATTTAACAACACTTGATATCCGTCAGTTTATGATATCATGTACCAAGCTTCATTCTTTGAACAGGTAAAATCATCATCACCATTTCCATTTATGTGTTTGTCTTCATGTATATTACCCCCACATGAACATTTAAGCATTTCTGATTATCTTGGACTGACTAAAACAGAAATGTCAAATATAAATACTTAATAATAACACAAAAAAATGTCAGAGGCAACAGTGATAGAAGTGTTAGCAATGATTCCACTTTCAGGGCAATTAGTCTGAGAATGAGACACTGGCTCATGTATTAGAAATGCATTATGACCACCCGATTATGTATTTTCACAGACCAAATATTTCAAAAGGCCACTGACATACCAAAATAAAAACATACTCCAAAACCACTGAAACATGAGATAATACATACAGATTTAAACAGCAACAATTAGACTCAAAGAGACTCAAAGTAGCCTATTGTTTACATCGTTTCCTTCATATTCTTAATATTCACAGCAGACAGAATACAGGAGTCTACTGTACACCAAGAGTCATACTGATTTAGAAAAAGAGTTCCTGAGCAGTTAACATTAAAGTGCTTTGCACAAAATCAAACAGTCACATCAATCACATCATGTGACCGGTCTGTTTGACCATTTTCCCTTAAATACAATCAAGGATAAATGAGGGTTTTGTAAACAACAGCTGTACTATTTACTGTTCACCAGAAGAGAGGTTTTGAAAATATTCTGAAGATCAAGCGAAGTACAATATGGTGGTTCAATAACACTTCCTCATTCAGATATAGGCTTGCATAGGGCTTTTAGTACCTTTTTTTCACCATTTAGTAAAGCCCGGGAAAAAGGATCTCAGGCATCTGTTAATTTTTGGAAAGAAATACTCAAACAGTACTTTGAATATTTACCCGTCCAATTACATTTTTTTGGTGACGAAGAAAACTAGCATGTGGATAAAAAAGCAAGACCATGCACCCTCTGTCTTAATTGATCACAGCGGCTTAAGCCCGCCCCTAGAGAACCGAGCACGAGGACAGACCCTACCTGTGTGGGAAGGAGGCCGCACTGTTCGCACCTGCATCTGTGCACCCCCTCCTGGGACCAGCAGCTGCGCCCCCATTCCTGGTCCGGAGGTCACCATGGACACAGAGGGGCTATTCATCCGCATGGGGCCTGTAAGAAAATAACCATCGGCAACTATCGGAAGGGTCACGTTAGCTCCCTTCTTGCTTTTTCTTCATCGATTTTCACCAGGCCCTGACACTCAACCGATTATTCTCCAAGTGCCAAGTCAATAAGCGCTTAGGGCACAGTTAAAGGTACTTGAATGTATCATCTATATCCAAAACCCACAGTTTAGTTTTTGAACAACATACATGCAGCGAGTGACATGTTTCTGATGATGCTTTGAATAATTATTAGAATAGTCAGTAGAGACTGTACCTGGACCCTGCTGCATGGGGAAGCCCATATCCATTCTCATCTGATTGGCTGCCCCTATGGGTCCATTGACTCTGACCTCTTGACCTCTGTTCTGTGCCAGTGCTACATTTATAGCACCTTCCCCTAAACACAAACACCATGATTGAAACAGAACATTCAGCATTATATATACATTAGTGAAATACTGGAATCAATGCTGCACGGGATCTGATCAACAGTCACAGCATTAGAAGCAACAAATTGCTCATGTGGTCTTGTTCTGCATAATTTGCCAATTTGCTGAAACTAAAAAAAAAAATACATCAACGGAAAAAAAAAATTCTGCATATCATTGGGGAATGTTTCCAAATGATGATAAAGAAACTTCACAAAGCAATCCGTGGAACATCTGGTTTAAATATTTCTCCAAACCCGGACTGCAGAAATATTTCAAAACGGCTGTCCACCTCTCCTAGCTCACCTTCTATCTGCACAGACAGGATGCCCAGATCGCGCAGCTGCTGCTGGTTGTTCTGCGCGATCAGCCGCAGGCGGTCGGCGGCGTCCCGGGGGATGTTGAACGTCACGCGCACGCTGTTCCAGGGCTCCAGCCGCTGGGGCAGCAGCCGCTCCGAGTCTGCCCGGGCACAGGAGGGAAAGACGGGTGAGAGGAAACCACGAAGAAGCCCCGCCAACGCCCAGCCGCGGCCGGTGTGAGTGACAGAATTCGCAGTTAAGGCACTGAAAAGTAGGAGTTTGCACTGATGTTTTGTTTTATGTAAATGTCCATACCTGATGCTGGATTCTACTGCTCTAGTCACACTATTACAACTTTCCACTGTTACCTCTGTACTTGGTTCTGTATAAAAGTATAGACAGATTGTGATCCAATATCGTTTTCCCAGTGAGATCAAATCTTTGCTTTTATCCATAATGTGGTGGGTACAGTGTATTTTAATTCTCACAATGCTATCGCGTTGTTGCTCACCTAGTTCCAGCATGCCTGGCATACTTTCTAAGAAGTTGTGCAGGTTCTCCTGGAAGTCTTCATCACCCATGTTGCCCTTAAAGGCGATGAAGATGTTGGAGTTGTTGTCCTGGCAGCGGGGCCGGGGTGAGAGGTCATGGTCATCCTCCACCCCAGAGTCCAGCCCCGTGTCTGGTTCGCCCACAGGTGCTGTCCACGCTGAGGGTGGCTCTCGGCCCTGCCAGTCTGCCATTGCCCCTCCTGTAGAGCAGCGAGGCTTGATCAAAACCAACCCTGCAGAACCGAGAGGCATTGTGGGAAGGGCTTGAGCTCAGGTTCACACAAGTAACAGCCAATCAGGTGCAGCACAAAAAAAGGTCAAAACAGACTACCTGACAACCTCACAGTGCGGCTCACAGGAGCTGTACAATGGGCCCAGTACTGTTAAGATCTCAATTACATTTATCAGCTATGGGAAAAAAAAACATTTCAGGAACAAAAAACTATTTTTAATGTTCTCATAAACATTCTAAATTGAATGAACAATTATTGCTCCTAAAGGGATGTCTTGCACATCACAAAGCTCATACACAAATACGACCACAATATAATGCAGCAACAATAACAAAGTTGTTTGGTGTTTGGACCACATTCAACGTCCAGTACCATAAGGGTTAAAAAACAAAAACTGTTCTTACAAAAATCCAAAAACAAAACTAATGTGATCCCTACCTACAAACATTTTAATATAGAAGAGTTGAACGCTTTTAGGTATAAAGGAAAGAAGTGATCTCTTAGTCTTTATACAGAAGATGCAGTACCTTCTTCCTGAGGATAGGAAGGTATATTTTAAAAAGAGTGGAGGTGAGGGGTCATCTCAGATTTTATGTGCAAAATTAATAATATATCACTCCATTACTGAGTCCAGGATTGTGGAAGTAGTCTTGCCACCAGTCCTGATCACTTTGTTCAATTTGTTTTTGAATATAGGACAAGGCACCTCCCCAGCTCTGAATACAAAAGGTTAGGCCTCTCTGTATAAAACATCTTATTACAAGGGTCAACACTGTGCTTTCTACGCTGCTATATCGGCCTTCATGAGCGGTTGGAAACATGACAGACATGCACCATCACAGCTTCCAAAGAAGCACCATCACTGAAGAAGAATGCACAATGTTTCTTCAACTTTTCAGATTATAGAGAAGTTCAATGCAATTTTCCTTCAAAAGAGGCAATCCAACTGAAGCTCAGCTCTTTGACAGAAGAGACTGGGCTGGACCACACAATTTGTGACATTAACTATAAAAATAAGAGCATAAAATGATCGTACCCCATGGTCATTCAGCCTACCTAAGCGAAAGAGTATTCAGAAACCTGAGTTTCATAATAAACCCCTTTCTTTTCAGCATTTTTACATGCAGAAAATAAATACCAGATACCAGCACCACACACGAATTCACACAATCTTGACCTCCAAGAATAAACTGAACAGATAACGCAAAAGCATGACAGACAGCAACTGACAAAACCGACCTTTACGTCTAGGAAAAATGAATAAACCCTGCATGGATTTAATAATTTAATAATAGAGTCAACAGAAGGAGTAATTATTCCTCCTCAAAAACAGTTTATCTTTGGCAGTAATATGACCAACAAGGAATGTAGAAAATGCATGTATATTCGTATTTAAACCACTATAACGAATCCGAGCAGCTTATAAGATAATTCAGTAACATTTAGCAGTCTGTGCACTGTAGTTATGTACAAGATACAAGAGCGGCATTATTGTACATCTTAAAAAGATCATATACAGGAACCATTTCTCACGAAAATACATTTCTTTAAAAATCTCAATATAAATTTGAGTTCAAGTAAAAAGAAACAAAAGCTGTGATCGTGACAGGAAAAATATAAGTTAGGGTTTTGACACCTTAAAATAATGGTTTGTAAGAATGATAGCACCCATATTAAAATGCTGCATATTTTGCATTTGCCGAGTAATTTATTTCCATCATTTCAAACATCACACACACTGTTGGCTACCAGTCTGGAGGAGATGCATGCGATGGTTACGGTGGAGATGTTATCCCAACGATGCGCGTCAGCAGTCAGAAGAAAACCCTTTTTGGTGACATTTTGGTTTCAACCTGCAGGTTTCCGAGACGCGAAGGCGTCCCCCCTGCTCTCTTCAGACCGAAAACCGTACGACAGACGCGAACTCGAACCCGAAAGGAGCGGATTTCGTTTTCCGCCCGAGATTTGCGATGTATGAACGCAACCATCACAGGCCCTCCGAGTTTGGTTTTCCGCCACCATGGATGTGCAGGCTATACACCGGCTCCGCAGCCGGAGATCTGAATCTCTGCCATAGTCGGTAAAAACGCCCTCGCTTTATTGCAGTTACACCTTTTAATCTTTTTTCTTTAAGCCAAGCAGAACAAGCACATAGGCTGGGTTTTAATCCTTACCTGATCACTCCATTGGAATCAACTCCTGTTCGGTAACAAAAAAAAAAACGGAGCAGGCAGCCGTGACAACAACACGAAGCGAGGGGGGGGGGGTGGGCAGACACTAGACAGCCTTTTCTCGTTTTCGCCCTATTCACAAATCAATCTGCTCCTGCTTCCTGGCATGAGGCGTGTAGTGTTAGGCTGCGCAACTGGCGTAAACGAATCGTTCAGGGCGTCGTGCAGATTTGTCTTTTCGCTTGCCGTAGTTTCCGCCGATGGCGGTGATCTCTGAGCTAAGGAGAACAGGGGGAGAAGTTAGCTCCGCAACAAGGGACGAAGCTATTGGTTGTGAGCTGCTCTGAAACTCAGTAAACCGAAATTCTCTTTGACAAAAATCGAACCAATAATTGATTTTAGTAGTGAAGGATTTATTATTATAGCAGAACAGGGGGGTACGACTTAGTTCTGCATTTTTTTTTATATTCGCTGCTACACTGTGTAATTTATTACCTAATAAAAACACGTCCGACGTTACCTTGTAAATTCACACTTCCGTGATGTTTTGTCGCTTCGCCTGTGTGTGTGTGTTGGCGTTGAGCAGCAAGAACAACATTTTGTTAAATTAATGTCTTGCGCACGCAAACGACTTTATTTCTTTTTGCACTTTGCTGTTAATGCTAATAATTGTCGTTCTTATCACTCGCAGCACACGAAAGAATCACAGACCGAACAGAAAATAGAAATGTTCCGTCCTCCAGCAGTATCAGCGCACTTCTCTTACCGTGGCCTGATACAGTAAAACTAGTTTAAAGAAATGTATGATTTCCTGACACTCTTTACATTGTCCTTATTGCTGTAATGGGTTATAATAATGGCATAGTCGGATTTATAACGCCTTATTTTGCCCACATGTATACAACCACTTAAACCAAGTTATACAACCGGTTTTCGGCAAATACGTAAATCATGATAAAGTAATGGAAATAAAAAAAAACTAGCCACAGCATATGCCCTGATATAGAATTGTTTTAAACCCATCACCTGTGCATTCCAACATCGACATCAACCAAAGGGCATATAAATGCATATACTATATGATATAGTGCATATAAATCATAACTACGTACAAAACCACAATGACCTTGCCTCACAGCTTTTGTGTTTCATTCTAAAACTAAAGCTTGGGTACCTTATCTGTGGAGTTAGCTTGGTCTCGCATCACACCCATGGGTTTTTTGTGAATTATCTATTTCTCTCCCAACATCCAAGACACACTGGCTAGTTTAAGAGGCTACCTAAATTGTCCATGACCCACTTGAGCCACTGTGTGTCTGTACCTTGCAATAAACTAGTGTCCTGTCCAGTTTATAGACGTGCCAGTTTGTAGATAGCCTTCCGTTTCTGTTAATGGATTGTTGATGTGATTTTGTAACACAATACAGTATTTCTAGATAGTATTACTGTGCTTTTCCTGCTTAAGTGTTTTGTTAATTTCAGTAAAATATGTCATTACTCTTCACACTGCTAGTTTGTAATTAGAGTATAGATTGCTCAAAAGTAAGAACATATGCTTGTGAAGAAGGCAAACTTAAGGTAGGTAAAAAAAAAACTACATACTACAAAACACACAGTCTTGACATGTTTTATTAGAAAATCTGTTAGACCTTGTACATGAGATGAATGAACATTGACTGCTGGCAACATCATAATCTTTTAAGCATTATTTTATGGCAAAAAGGCATTTTTAAGTGTCAGCTTTATTAAAAAAATAAAGCGTCATCCAGTTTTGTGAACTGAAGGTTAGTAGCCTTCCACTACAAGAGTACTGTTATAAAATACAGTACATTGACACCTAGTTCATTCAGTCGTCCCTTTTCTTCCATTAAACTTGGCTTCTTTCTGATTGCTAAATACACATGACTAATGTGCAGAAGAACAGGCTGGGCAAACAACAGCACTAACATTTTGATATTACAAAAGATGTTCTGTTTTGTAATGCAAATGCAACATTGCAGAATGAACAAAATGAGGAACGGGTTTGATCCAGAATGGGATGTAACCTTTTTTGGTTCAGTATTTGGGCTACAGATAACAACAGCAGCCAGAGCAGAGCAACAGCTGCTCAGAGCAGGAGTAGCGTATGAGAGGGTACCAGCAGAGAACCATCGATTTAATTGATCCAGAGATTTCTGAATAAACTCTGTTCAGCTAATTGACATGATGAACCTTGTTAACACAAATTCAAATATGACCTCTTTTTCAGATCTGTGAAAAGCTGTGTGTATAAGCAGAGCATTCAGAAAGTTGTCCTAGACATCTAATTTCTCACAATTGTCCTGTGATTTCTGCCTAAAAAGTGAATTTGTACTGTAATGGTCCCTGTTGGGTATGATTGAAACATTGTGTCCTAACGGTATGACTAAGCATGGCATGTCCTTCAAATGTACAAACTGTTAATCTTATTGTTAATCTAACTTGTAGCCCAAAAGGTTTCTCTTTCTTCCTTCAATTTAACAAAATTAAATTGTGTCTGTGTTTCATATAGTCGTAACCATCGCTGAACTGGGCCAGTAATCTCAGTGGAGTACTGTACGTTTGAAAAACAAGAGATCTAAATAAAGTGTAATCTCCAGGAACTACCCTTATCCCCCAACAATAACTGTATATACCACAATTATATTAAATCTAAGATAATAATTCTCAGAGTGATAATATCAGCTTTTGACAACATACATTAAAACGAATACAGGGGTGATCACTACAAAACACATTACTTGTGATATCACTAGTTCATGTCCCACTGCATTTATTGACTAGAACTCTACTGTGCCAATTAAGCAGAGGGTATAATGCAAAGTAAATCCAAATTCCTAGGTTAATGTAAGTCTGTCATGGCTCCTAGTTGAACCATGTACAGTACAGTTTTAGTGTGTCAAAGATTAAGATATTAAAGTATGCTTTGTTACAGTGACAACAGTACAGTAATGCAAGCTCCTTTATGGCACTTTGACTTGGTTACCTGGCTGGGATGGAGAATTAAATTGCCAACTGCATAAATAGTTTCTTAATATTTCTAAATTATTGATAATTTCTGCGGTAGACTTAGGGCTTGACCTTAACTGATCTCCAGATCTTAGTGGCAATTATTAACATAATCAGGGAGTCCTGTTGCATAGCTGACTTCAAGTAAAAATTACTAGTTACTAGTTTGAAGAAGAAAAACCGATTTCCTATTTTAATTGTGTATACATAAAAAACTAACCATGTAACATTACAGACATTTCTAATGTTCAGTGTAAAGTTAGGGTTTTTCCATTCATTATACAAATGTTATGAAACCATAGCCTGTCAAATGTTTGCATCTCTTTCCATGAAAGTCTGCTTTTATACCTATTGTTTCAGTCTGCAAACTTTTAGCAAAAATGAAACTTCATTCTCAGGTACTAAAATGACATCCTAAGCATACTGTACCATCACTTCAAATATTGCATTTACAGTGTACATTCAAAGCGTCCTTCTGGACATTTCTACCGGCAGTCAGCTACGATACCTTACATTCTGTTCTACTGATAATTTGCCAAAATCATCCCGTAAGTGGCACAAAATGAAGCAGTACATTACATTACAACAGTAGCGGGACGGATGTTTTAAGCATGTCATGATTCAGTCATGTGAATTTCCATCTCCAACAGGTCCGGCCCCGATCAAAAAACCTCTTGGACAGATTTTAAAAATTGACCTTCTGAATTCTGAAAGGCGAAAAATGCACTTTAGATAAAGCTTTGCACTATCATTACGGACACCTGATGGGCACACGGCGGATGACAGGAAATTCTCAGCAGCACATGACGCCCCTCTTTTGATACAGGGCAGGGTGGAAGGAAAGGGGGTTCATGTCAGTTCTTGGGGTTGGCCTGCATTGATGGTCAGTGGTATTTACAGTGTAGCAAGTGAATGCTTCTGACTAGACAAGACTGCAACGGTGAAACTGCTGTGCAACATGCCCTGTGAATCTGGCAAGAATCTACAATAAATATCGAATCGTGCACCTGTCTGCAGGATTAGGCAAAACAGCTGGCCCCTCCCTAAACTTGCTGACACTTCATGCTTCCCCCCGCCTGTGACCAGACCCCCTCTCCCCTTAGGGGGTGGTAATGGCAGAAGCATCGAGATTTCGGGGATCCTTCACGGCGATCATGAGGTCATTCGTCCTCCTGGTGCCTTCGACCACTGACAGGACGTCTACCCTCTTGACATTGTGTCCCTTAATCTGCAGCAACTCCACGTCTTCTTCGGGGAAATCACCTTGGAGACAAACCCACAAAGGGAGTGTATGAGATATACACACAGAAAGGCATTTAAATATTTTATGATGTGCTCAGGCATTGCAGCCCATACTGCCTTGACGTTTTCCTACAAGCTAAGTAATTGTACTGCAGCGTTAACCCAAACTTTAAAAGCGTTATAAGCATCCATGACTTCACTTGGCACTTCTTTCCATTCAGCATCAGAAAGTTGCTCACTTCAAGTAAGGGTGGCATCAACCCCAATCCTATGCCAGAAATGTAGGGCTCAAGATGGGACTACACACAACATGGGTGCCATTCAATTATAAGGCACTGACACACACCAGGAGAAATGATTAATTTAGAGACAACAATTAACAGAAAAAGTGTGCCCACCGAGGGTGGAAAGAGGTCAGACAAATGGCTGCAGAAAACTCCCACAATCACAGGGAGAACACACAAAACCCACATAGAAGGCGTCCCAGCCCAGAACTGAACCCAGGGCCTAAGAGCTCTGTGGCAAAAAGTATTTCAAAATTCCAATTAAAAACACACTCTTATCTTTTCCGAGCACCAAGAAAAAAGAGGATGCTGCAATCCCTAGAGTTTAGAGAGCATGGGAACTCACTGTCCACTAGGAGTGTGCTGTTCTGAAGCTGTGGATGAAGCCTTCCAAAAGACAAGCTGTCATTGAGGTTCTTGTGGAAAGACAATATATTCATCAAAACCTGCAGACGTAAGCAATAAACGAAATTAGTCCATCTCCTCAAATGTAGGAGGCTCCAGGAAATTCATTTGTCCGAGTTTTGAATAGGCTCATTTGAACTGTTTTTATTAACCCAGAAAGATTACTAAAACCATTAGGTAATAGAATGTGAATTTCAGTATAATTACTCATTCTATAAGAAATGTATTTTTATTAAAAAAAAGAAATTTATTAAATATGTATTGTATGAAACATTAAACGGCACCTGCTGTAGGCTTTCTGCATTCCCTCTAGTGCCGTATGAGACATACTGTACATTTGAAAGCAACCTGAGTAAATCTGCAGCTGTGTTTTAAGTTACTGACACCCAGATTTCTACATCCAACAGACACTGAGCTGACCTGAGCGATGCTGCTAAGTGCTCTGTCTCCGCTGGAGGAACCCAGGGAAAGGTAGGTGCCACAGAACCCCAGAGATGGTCTCACCACAGTGGGCAAAAGGAAAGACACTGGCCTCTTCCCGGGCTGAATACTATTCCGCTGTAAGAGAAACCCATTAAAAGACTTTAACTAACATGGGCAAGAAGACCAATCCAACAAAGCATGCCATGTCTAAAGTACCAATACAGAGACTGTTATTGAATTTTGTTTCACTATGTCTTCAGAAAGTCCTGGCAATCCAGACCTCCCCCCCACCCAGAAAGCATAAGGTATGTAGTGGGACTGTAAACAGGACTGCTTTCTCCCTGGATGGGATAGTGGACCATCGCAGGGACACAGATAAAGGGACAATTCAGAGTAGCCAGGTACCTGCTTATCTTATGGAGGGAGGTGAAAACCTGCACTAAAAGTCACACTACAGTTCTGTGGTTTGTGTGTCCTGCACATATAGAAAAGTCTATCTACTGACATTAAAGGTTATGTAGTTTACACGGCACAACTCTCTCAGCATTTATGCCAAACGTGATTTCCCTTCATGTATGATTTGTTTGAAAACTCTTCTGTATCTGCATTATGGAGCTCGATATCTGCGACTGATGGATGCACATGTGCATGTCTATTTAATACTTCTATAATTAGAACCAGATCAGAGTCAATTGTGAAAATATAATAATGTGATACTTGGTGATTGTGGAAGGGGGACTGTACCGGAGCAGGGGGAGCAGAACTCTGTGTTTTGTTTGGCCAGGAAAAGTCCAGCATCTGACTGTTCAGGAGAATTCCAGAGGGAGTCATAATTCCACTTCCAAAGGGACGGTTTAGAGAGCTAAAATTACAAGACAGGAATATTTCTTATTTCAGACAGATTCCTGCGAGAACACACACACTGTCTGCCTGTAAAGGCAAAACAATATTAAACTCTTCAGTGTAAGCTGTATTTAGTCTTGTATGCAAAAAATAATAACCAGAGTCACTTCTGCTTTCTGCTTGATTTCAGCTTTCAGCCGCACACATTCATCCAGTTAAAGATCTGGTGTAGTACTATTGAACAAAAACACACCTCATAACAGAGACAATGAAGTCGTCTGATCCCATGACCAGAACCTGGCTGGTGGCTCGTCCAGTGTCCAGAGAGTAGTAGGGGACATACTGGTCAGGAGGGAGTGTCTGAGAGTCACTGATCTTCTGGCGAAGCAAAGCCGCCTCAGACTTGCTGGAAATCAGAAACAAAGGCCCCTTTCACAATCATAATAAATCTGCAGGCTTCCGTTTATCCGTGAGGTTTCTGCAACCTCATTCCCAGTCCCCAGTGACACAAGTCACTGAACTTAAGAGAAGAATACAGTACTCGGTGTATGTCCTATATGAATTTAAACGATGAATAAACAATAAGTATCTATGAAACAATAAATAACCCATTTAGATTACAAGGGGAACATGCATAGTTCCCACGGTAAAGTTAGCAGATAAAATGCCCTGTGAATTACAGGAAATGTTTCAAAAGAACTGGAGCATAGTGAAAGCAGTGATTTAGCTTGCAGTGGTTACCCATGAGGAGGTTTGACTACTCCCTCATCAAGCACCCCCAAACCCCCCCGTCAAGCACAGGACTTACCTTAACATCTGTGACACTGCCTCGGTTAAATCACCAGAGGAATCAAACAAGGGGTCCCCCAGGTTGCTAGCCTGGGCTAAAGCTATTTTCAGGGACTGCAGAAAGAAAACGCGGAAAGAAAGAAGAGGAAAAGGGGAAAGGATTAAAGCTCTTCGAGTTTCAGCAACCTTCAGGTCTGAATAAGAGAGTTTTTAACCAGATGAAAAGAGTGGAGACCCGGCTCTTGCTTTCACATAGAGCAAAGAAGCAACAGTCAGCACTGCAGTACCTCTGCCATCCAGTGGTAGGTGCTGTTTCTGGGGACTTGGCTAGTGATGTTGAAGCCTTCCAGAATATTGAGAGCAGCAATCAAAGCAGCCCCAGCGTGTGGTGGAGGAGAGGCTAAAATCTGATGACCTGCAAAGGTAGAAGAGGAAGGAGATGTGTTACAATGGTCAATGCGGGAAAAAATAAACAAAAAAAAACCACCACGAAATTCAGTTCACTTCATTAGCATTCCTGATCGACTGCTCTGTGCACTCTTTCATAGACAATTGTGTTTCTTATTTGTTTCATACATACGCAATTCCGTTTTTACAGCAGCACTCGGTGAAGCATAATCTCTTTTCTCTCACTCTTTATACAGCACTATTTAAAGTAACTTTGAGAGATTATTTGGAATGTTGCTATTTAAAAATAAACCGTATTATTATTCCATAGGAGCAATGTACATCACACAAGGTACAACAGCAGTATCTGCAGCAGGGATTTGAACCTGTAACCCATCAATTATGGTCCTGATACAGTACGTGCTCACTGTGCTATACCATTCCCATCCTGTAAACCATTAACCTCTGCAATTGTCATTTCATGCAGGATGGTAGCATTTACCCTGGTAGAGACCCTCCACAGGCTGCTTTAATGCAGTGCTGTAGTTTGTGAAATCCTCTTCTGTAAGAACTCCATCTCTTGCTTGTACCTAAACAGAACCAAGCATATAATGAAATATAAATAAATATAACAAAACACACAAAACCATAATGGTTTCCTAGTTTAAAAAATCAATAGAATGTAAGAAAACTTTAAACCTGAAACTTCTAAAAAAACGGGAGCAAAAGACAAGACTTTGAAGAGCAGTTGTACAGTAAAATGAAGCAGGTCAGACACTTAACCACAAAAAAAAACTATACAAAATCTCCAACACTTATGATTTGCTCTACATTCAGATTTTTGATGATCAGACTTTTGGATACAACATTTTAAGGTTTACCAATTCACAAACAATCTCTGTAGAACAAGGAAAGCACCTCTGAGCCTTACTTGCCTCAGCAACTATTTCCTGAGTGAGATTGCTGTTGTAGAACTCAGATATCCCATTGGCTGCAATCAAATCCAAGATGGCCGCCAAGTCTAAGCGCCTCATGAACAGGCCTGGAAGCACTGACTGCCCCTGATTGACAAAAATCTCCCGAAAACTGTCCGACATGTTCTGATCCTTCACTTTAGACAGAGCGTCCGCTGGGGAGAGGGAATAAATTAGAGGTAAGGTGAAAAAAAATTAACAAGAACTGTTTCTCTGGTTCTAAACAAGACCTCTAAGGCCTCTAGCATTAAAAGACTAACAGTTTTACAGGCTGACAACCAGAAATGCCCGCAATAATTCTAGTTTGCTTCTCGTTTGTTTCTTTTTTAGCTTGTTGAATCCGAGACCTGTAAGATTTTATAAGGAGTACAGTATGGTGTGCTTCCCTCACCTAGATCATGAGTGACATTAAATCCATTTCTTGCAACATCTGCTGCCATAGTCACCACCTCTTTCCAATGCAGTCTGGGAAAAAATAAAAGGTTTTAAAGGAAAAGGGTTATTCTTTTATTTGATTTCTTAGGATTATTTCAGTAACATTTAGATTAAAATGGAAACTCAAACAAACATCCAACAACTTTAGATCAGTTACTCCTATTGTTATGCAAGCGGCTTCTAATATCTTTGTAATCTCTGTGTTGTTCAAATCCCCCAGTTTAACAATCTGTGTTGGAGTTTGAAAAATCTGTCTGGCTTTTATTCATTCATGGCACAGGCTGTTTAAACCCATCTCTAAGACCGACTTTGCTTTCACTACAAATACATCCTGCTGCCTGAGGGGATTATGAATCTCTAGTGCTTCAGCAGGTGTATTTGCGTGTGAAGATAAAGCAAGTTTGGTCTTGGGAACAAAAACATTTTAGTGGTCAAGAGAAAACTAAAAAAAAAAAGAATTTTCTTTTCCATAGAAATTTACATTTTGTGATTTTCTAAGAAACATTGTGGAATATGTACATATTTCAACTCCTACAAAAAGCAACACTTCTTCTAATTGTGCAAATGTTGAAAGATATACATCACTTTACTAAAACACATTATAGCTTTTTCTATCATAATGACACTAACTAAAACACTGTTCTTTTCATGGGAACAAAAGTCTGTCCCCACTCCTCTGCCTTGCAATGCTGGATATAGCCACAAACGAAGCATTTTACCTTCCATATAACTGGTGTGCTTGGTGCATCCCTCTCAGCATGCCTGGGACTCCAACTAACAGTCCAGGCTGAAATTAAAGGGAAGAGCTCAGTGACTAACAGAAGCTTTGAAAAACCTTATTTTTTTCCACATATAAACTCTTTACACACTCCGAGTGCTGCTCTGCTCAGAGGCTTCTTTGGCTAAACAATAAGAAGACAACAGATTTACTCATTTGCATTACTCAAAGCAAATATGTGAGATTGCTTGTCCCTAAATTCTACCAGAACGAACGACTTTGAATGTTAAAACGGTAAACTGAGAGACGTGGAAGCTATCCATTCAAGGATTAACTGGTAGTGTCAGTACAAAGCCCACATTTAAGACAGCAGTCCCCTTAAAAACAGAATACACTGCGTTCATATTCGCAGCTCGTGACAAGATGATTTTACTTTCTGCTCCAGATCGCCCTGAAACATCTTCTCCTGGATGGCTGAGGGCGCCGTCTCGCGGAAGTCAATCACGCGGCTTTCGTTCTTCCGGATGTCATGAACCAGCATCACTCCGCCACTGCAGAGGGCAGAGAAAGAGCAGGTGACCGAACGCCAGCCCAGCCTGTGCCACCCCACCTGCCAGCTTGCCTCCTCTCACTGAGAGGATCAATCGCTCAGTCCCGCCAGTTGCTACAATCCCAGGGGGTCTTCACTCCCTTCCCACAAAATCTATATTGGCACACGCTCAGGGATGCATTCCAGTTTTCCCTTGAAAACAAGCCGGGATAAAAATACGATGATGATGCACTCTGGCAATGTTTTAAACTACAGTATGCACACAGGAACAGCACACTGGAAGATTCTGGTAACTATTATTCATTCACAGCTAATCTTTGAAAGCCCTCTCTGGCCTCTTTTTGAAATCCCAAAAGATAAGATACATTTCTTGCCACTTTTAAAAATGTGATCACAAGAGCATGTTAACAAATTACTTCTTTCTTCATCGGTACCACCATAGGCATGATGCTCAACACAACATGACAGTGATTTCACATGAGAACATTTAGTACTCTTTTTGTTGCTAATACCTTATTTATCCAAGGATAAATACAGCTATTTATCTATTATGTATAATCTTGGGTACAAAAATTTTTTGAACCTATTTGGTCGACTACAGAACAAACAAGACAACTTTTTAAACAATTTATATTTTGTGCATGTTTAAAGAAAATTACTTATCACAGTGGTGTATTTCAAGTCCCACAAAAAGACACGTCTTGAAGAATATTGAGAAATCTGGTCAACAATAAGTCTGGGCAGATGGGTGTGTACACCCACAACCCTTTGTGTCAGAGTTGCAACACTAACTCAGTTCCGGGAATGGTTGGAACCAATCAGAGACGTTGGAATGCTGACATACTGTATGACAGAGGATCCACGAAAAACACAGCCCTGTCCAAAGCGCCACTGGAGCTGTACTCACCCCCCTATTCCCGAAATGTGTGGGTTGATAATCCCCAGACAGAGAACTGCAGCAATCGCTGCATCCACAGAGGAGCCCTGCTTGCTCAGCACCTCTGCACCAAGAGACGTGCATTGGCCCACATCTGTCACCACAGCACCCTGATTGAAGATCTGCAGAGAGGAGAAAGGGCACAGCTCACCAGTGGGCTTAGATAGTGCTGGTGCCCAAAGGTCCACACATGGAGATGACAGACTGAACGTGTTGGCAGTGTTTGACTATTCCACTATTCCTAAGGCCAGGATGGGATTCATTTATTAGCATCAAAGACATTAAGGAATGCGTAGGTCTTCCAAAAGAGATTAAATTGATGTTGATTAGTCGATTATGCTCTTGCAAAGCCACGTAGACTAGAAAGAAACCAGAAGAAAATAAGGAATGCAACATTAAAGAAATTCAGAAGAAGAATTTGCATTGTATTTGTAAAGAAATCCCACTGCTGCCTCCCTAGTTTGGCAGGGTTAATGACTGGGAGAACCGCCTGTCAGTCCTGAACGTGCCTGTGGGTCTCCGAAGTAGATCTGCATGATGAGAGCCACAGTCACCCCCGTGGCGAAGGTCAGGCAGGCGGTGATGATGATGGTCAGCCCATCTTGCCTGCAGTTGCAGTCCCCAGCCAGGGGGTCACGCTGTGTCTCCCGCAGGGGAGTCAGGTCCTGGCTGGCCAGCTCGGAGGAGGAGGAGGGCAGCCTCTGCAGCCGTGCGGTCTTCAGGAACAGATCTGGGTCTGTCATTGGAGGGGGGGTGGTCAGGTCAGTCATATGTGTTCAGCCTAGAGCGGTGCAGAAATCTGCAGGCTTTTCACAGGAGAAGAGGTCTAAACACAATCTATTACAGATGACTAGATCACCACCAACCCACCAGGTTGTGTTGGTTTTGAAAGTGGCTACCCACAGTACATCCAAAGACTATTTCTGTCACAGCAGTATCTTGGTAGGCTTTTCTGCTGCTTTTTATGTTATTGCATATTCAGTCGCAGTTTTCAAATGGATAATTCGGACTGGTTCTGCAGTACGGGATGTGAAACGCGTTTTTGTAATGGCTTCATGGTGTTCATTAGTATCTCTATAGCACGTTACAATTCCGTAAGAGATATGTACTATTTACAGAACTGAACTGTAGCCCTGGAAAATTCAAATTATGCTTCTAAACTACAACAGAGTCTTTGTATGCTAGAGCCACGAGATTTATTGTTTTTCCTACATGATTCCCCAAAAATATTTAAGTAAATTTGAGTTAACAACTCCTGCGAATACGACAGCGATAATACAGACGCAGCGCTATGATAGTGCATTTTTGTTCGCCAAGGAGACGCTAATAGGGAGATCTTATGACGCGAAATATACACAGTCCGTACGTACCTGTGTCCTGCTCGCTTAGAAAGTTGTCGTCCTCCTTTCGGGATTTGATATTATTATCCGCGGAAAGGGCATCGTCCTCCGGCAGTCGAGGGAAGCTTGTGATGCTCATGTAATCCACGGGGGAGTAGACACTGCCCAGCGTCGTTTCCTGACTAACGTCCTTCTCTGCCATATTACCGCTGGAGTACCCGGCTACGGCGTCAGCGGCAGGCGTGAACATGAGCAAATCTTGCGTCTCCTCAACGATGTACGGCCAGCACTGAGCTACATGAAACAGATCTGCCGGACGGGCTACACTCCTCCACGGGCCTACTCCCTTTTACTGAGCTGAAATCACAGCCCCAGATCAGATCAATAAAGATATTTACAAATTCGCCAGATCCATTCCATTATTGTTCATTATTTCCATTTTCAATCCTGCAAAAAAAAAGGGGAGGTGGACAGTAAAGACACGGTACCCTGTTTGCATGCCGTACAATTCACTATGGACAGAAATCGGAATATTCAAAACGCCTATCTAAAAATGAATAGATTTCCAAATGACGCGTACACACTGGAGAAGTGATGTACATGGCGCAACCAGTTCAACCTGTGTGTCCGCTCATAATTCAATTGGTCTCTAGTGCATTATCACCGCGCTCCTACTGCGTTGGGTGATGGCGATTTCGATCCGATCTAATACACAGAGGAATTTGTCAAAGATCGCATTTTTTGCGACGGAGGACTGGCACCATCCGATGTGGCAGAGGATGGAGACGAGCCGGTGGCACCCGGAGATCGTACTCCTTTCATTTCATTGAGCCGGGCGCCACCGACGCACCGTCCGTGCTACCGACACAAAAGATCGCTCGGCACCGTCACGACTTACGAGCACATGTCAGGGCGATCCTGTTGCAGACCTGGTGGAGTTTGCTCCTCACTTTTGTGCTGGATTAACTGCGGCTCTTTCGCGTTTGTTTGTTTTTTAATACAGGGTCTTCTTGCAGCCTTCACAATAAAAAGCCGGGGATCAGCTGACATCACAGAGAATATGTCACCGCCTTAAAGGTGCAGGACTCTAGGAATTCCGTGGAATGCAAAACGAGTTCAACAGGAGCATTTGGTTTGTACTCCTCACCTGTGTTTGAACAGGATCCCATAGCTAAAAAGCCCGTCTCAGTTTTTATACCAACGGGACAGAGAGCTCAGACAGGATTTTACTTTATGCTGGCACCTGCAGAAACCACGCTAATATCGTAACTGAATTTGTCTATTAATACCCCCATTAAAAATAACCCGACATCCAAGTAATGACCATAAATCAAAGAAAAGTCTCACTCTAACAATGATAAATAACGACGTTAGCATTGGCAACGATGATGAACAACTTCTATGCAGACAAAAGTCACAACGAATTTTTCATTGCGCACTACCAGAATAGTATACCTATGGGATGCAGGTAGCTCGCATTAAGCGTTCGTTATTTGCGTGATGTTGCTAAACAGGTTTTGTGGAAACCACACGAGGCAGGTCCCTATCAAATTCCCAATATTCTAGAAAGGCCGTGTCTTTTACACACCTTTAGTAATCCTATTTTCACCTACACAGGACATATCACAATGCTACTTCATTTCAAAACACAGCCGCGCCTCTGGTGACTCATTAAAATGACAAAACCTGCTGTAACCCGACAGACATATAGCAACGAGCGGTGCAGGACAGAGTTTTTTCCGTAAAGGGTGCTGCCCGTCAGTGGTAAATGAAATGCGTCCCCTCCTAAATGTGAATTGCCTTGAGATTCTCGGGGGATGAGAAGAAACGCAAGGAATTGAATACATATTTACACAGGGGTACTGTTGGGGACATTTTCATAAACTACAAATAGTATGTGATTTAGCTGTCTCTTCTCTGGTGACATTTCTATTTGTCCTGGTGCTATGTAATTGTTAATACCTGTTTTAAACTCCTGTATCTTAAAGGAAAGTTCCCCTTATCTTATTTATGTTTTCAGATAATCCTGTAGGCCTAGCAAAATTAAAGTCAGTCTAGATACCATTGGAGAATATACAGCAGCTAAATATACAGTACCATCATTATTTTCCAGTGACGAGGACAGTGGGTGTAATCCTGATGTAAATCAAATTTAAGGCTACTTGGATAATAAGCTATGCACTAAACCTATTATTACTTGTCAAACCACACAATGAAGAATTACTGGGTTGTATTCTTTCAACAACTGCTTGGAGAGGCAGACTTCTTTAGTGCCCTGTTAACATACAAGCACGTAATTATGAATGCACAAGCAATCGAAGAGGTCCAAATTAATATTTGTTAAGTTTTACCTTGACAAATACAAAAACAGTTTTCATTACACTCATTTTCTCTGGAGCTAATTGGGTTTGTTAGTTTTTTTGTTGGTCATTATAAGGTATTTATAATACAAAGAACTACTCAATGAATAATGTTAGAATATGGTGAAATTATTTTTCTCAAGGAGCCAAAATACATATCGATAGCAAAAAAATAGTAAAAAGAAAAAAGTCCTTGGGACCATTTCATTGTAAAAAATAAACAGTACTACTGCCGGTATGAAGATTGTATATGAAATTTTGATATTATTTCTATAATTATTAACATTTGCGTCTTTTGGAGCGGCGGACACATAGTTATTACTCCCTCTAGTGACAGGTTTTGAAATGACTGGTCGACATCGTCACCACAAATCCAATTTATTTCTTATTGTTGAAAAAGTAAAGCACCCTTCTCTTATTGTAGCAGCGCAACTACAATGGCTTCACAACAACTGAATATACGAGCAAGCTTTATTCCGTAGAAAAATGTTTCCTAAAACAGAACTACAAACCACCCGTTGCAATCTGGATTTAGATAAATCAAATTGTATTTGGAGGGTTTGCGATTAATCTTTGCTTTATGAACTTCTTTATCTTGAAAAATGTTAATGTTTTTAAAGATCAACGTATAATCGATTCATATTGTCCAAATTGTATTTTGTTATTCATTTTGTTGCACTAAGCAAAATTACTTTTACGTCCTAGTAAACACTACGCACGTTGGAGTTACAGCGCCGTGGTTATCAGACCTAATATACACCTTTTTGCTGAAAAAAAAAATGGATACCAAATGTGCTTTTCCCATGAGTAAGGACAAAATAAATCGATATCAGAACAGAAATTAATCTTCTAATATTCATAACTGTTGTTCCAAATTGTTAAACAACGGCATGAATAAAACATGAAATTATGCTAAAAACGTCTTTTAACGTTAACTTTCCTTCAACCTCAGTTCATGGATCATTTATTTCACAACTGCGTCACTTTGAAGACGGTCCCTGAAACAGGTGAGGTGAAAGTTGAGCTCGGTCATAACTTCCTGATCTGCTCAGACTAAACATGGAAACAAAATGAAACAATAACTGGGGAGAACATCAGGAACTCAGTAAGTTCGGTAATAGTGTTCTTGCGTTTTGGGTGTCTTATGTTTCAGTGAAGATGCTTATCTAAATCAGTTAACAGTTCAATTATGAATTTATAAAACAAAACAGAATGGCAGATATAGATCATATTAAAAGTTGGGGTCGGAGTTCGAGCTTTTGAAGACTTGCAAATGAGGATTGTTCTGCAATATTGAGCGTCTGAAGTTTCGAAGTTGCACGTTTCTTCCTTTTCAGCACTGCAGAAACAAACAGAAACATCAGCAGGGACTAGGGATGGTGGTATCATGCTGCATGCAGTAAAAATGCACTGTACATTGTTTTCCTATTTCTACTGGTCGAATGTGGATTTCTTTTTGCTTTATAATTTCTGTTATGAATTTACAGCTTTGATTCATTGGGTAATGCACAAACCCTGAAAAGAAAGGTTTAGGAATCTCCCCTGATCCTTTAATGCATACTTACTGTAGCTCTTTTTGAAAAGTCTCTTTAGGTTAAGAAATGAATTTTATGTATGCAATGAAAGCTGCTTAGTAAGCAGATCTGTCTGACAGTTTCTGCCACTCAGTGGTGGCGAGAGTGAAATATTTAGAAAATAATTCAGTTGATGTGCACTTGACAACAAATACTTTCTTCTCAAAACCAGCTGGACTGGAAAGAATCTTGCATTGACAGTGCCCCCTTGATGTTCTGTTTCAAATGAGAGAACATTTAGTTCAGTAAATCAGTAGAGGCCAACTTTTAATTTGCCAAATGACTGATCTTAAAACATGTCTATCATGTTCATTCTAACGTATCCTGCCACAGTTCTGCCTTACCACAGTTATACAGTTCATAGAAAATGTGTGAGCACAGGCATGTGATGAACTGTCAATGTTTTTAACAGGACGACAGACATCTGCAAAGACGCCATCTTGGTTGGCGATAATGGATTCCAGATCAGAGGAAGAGAAGTACTTCATTGTCATGAAGGCGAAGCCCAAGCCAGGGAGCTTTTCCAAGGGCAGCATAGGCCGCATAGAGAGTGAGTCCCAGGACGAGGTGCAAGGCCCTGTCTTCGACACCAAGGGCACTCAGAAGCTGAAGAAGGAGAACGTGAGGCTGCTGTCTGCTCTGGAGGCTCAGCTGCTGCTCCGGGTCTCTGCCCCCGGGAAGAGGCTGCAGCTGCTGCAGAGGGCGGAGCTGTTCCGGGCCATCTGCGGGCTGGCGGAGGGCGACGTGGTGGTGGTTCAGCAGAAGAAGGAGCAGCGGACAGGGGTGGTGAAGGCCGTGGTGGAGCTTGTGAAGCACGAGGCCAGCGGGGAGCTCAGGATGCGAGTGTTTGAGGTGAAACTTATGGTGGGTCTTGGTGACGATCGATTGGGTGGATTGCAGCAGAGCACTTCCGTAATAATAACAGACTTTATTTTATGTCGCGCTGCTCAAAGGGTGTTACAGCAAGAAAAAAAGGTACCTCAGATATGTCTGTATACAAACTTTTTTTTATCTTACATTTGGTTTTAGGACCCAGAGAAAAAACAACCTTGCAAGAAGGAAGTCTCTCCTATTTTGTGCAGCGCAGGAGATATTGTCGATGTCGTAATTGATTCTCCACGAAATGCACTTCTCTGCTTGAAGAACCAACTGGAAGGTGGTTTTCTATATTGCGTCGCTTCAGCCAATAGAAATCCTTTGTGTAGCTTTGTCAGCTGTCCTGATTTTGTGCTATGTAGATTTAGTATGAGGTAATGTTCCAGTAAAGCTTGATTTGTAATTAATGTAAAATACAGATGGGCTCATTATCTTATACAGTACTATATTTCTTTAATACTCCTTCATAATCTTGTGACCCAAGTGTTTGTGGAGTGGCTTTGCTAGCCAAGCTCTTAATTAACTGTTTACCTTTATAAGTAACTTGAAATATTCAACACATTAGCAGTTGAAATCAAGGGGGGCATTCTAACTAAGCCAATTCTCAGTCTAGTGAGGTTTTGTGTTAAGTTACCGAGAGCTCTGCTGGACCAGCAGACACTTGTGTTGGGTTAGTGTAAAAACTGAAAAGACGCTCACAGATAGAGATGGTTAATGAAGGAAGACAGCTAATGGGCTGAGGGCCAACCTGTTCGGAAGCAGAAGACTCACGTGATGATGTGTTGGACAGATTCAGGGCTGTCCTGCGAATTGCGCAGACTATCGAAGACGTGCTGCTGTTTCTGTCCCCTGTAGCCTCTAACGTGAAGGATTACTCGGGGTCTGACTCGGGTTTGAAGTTGCAAGTCAGGGGAGTGCAGGCAGGTAGGAGCCCTCCGATCACCTCGGACCCTGGCCCAGCGCTGACACCGCACCCCTCGCTGGAGGTGGGCTCCATGGTGGAGATTCCAGCCGGAAACGGGGCCATGGTGTATGGAGTAGTACGATGGATTGGGACCCCTGAAGGCAAGAACCAGCCCTGGGCAGGGGTCGAACTGGTAAGTGCCACAGCGGAACCAGTCCAGGCTGGGCCTCTGCACTGGGCATTAAATGAGCTGTTTTGGGCTTCAGTGCTACTGTGATCTGTTAATAAACCCTCATGGGCTACCCAGACTCATATAATGTAACAGTGATGGGTTTTTACATTTTCATTATTATATGCACTTCATCCACCTTATTTAAAAAAACAAAAATATTTCCTGTTTTGTCCACATAAATCAGTCTGATGTTTAGATAAGATCTTTTCGCATACCCCAGGTTGCTCTCCATGAGACACAAAGACACACGGGACAGGGAGAGAAGCTTGGGGTCAGAGCGCAGGGTCAGCCATTGTACAGCGCCCCTGGAGCAGTTGGGGTGAAGGGCCTTGCTCAGGGGCCCAACGGAGTAGGATTCCTCTGCCGGCCGCGGGATTTGAACTGGCAACCTTCCAGCCACAGGCGCAGATCCTTAGCCACAGAGCCACCGTTTGGACATATCTCTGTATTTTCTGTTATTCTGTCTTCTGTGAGTTGTAAATGTGTTTCTGTACTGAAAAGATGTGCTCTACATCGCCACAGGATTATGAAATGAAAGGCTGTTCAGACGGCAGATTTGGGGCTCAGCGGTACTTCACCTGCAATGGAAACAAAGCCATGTTTGTCATCCTGAAGAACTGCTTTCCAGACAGCAGGTTTCTACCCCTACCTCCCTACAAGGAAACTCTGCCACGCTATGAACCACATCTAGGTGATGCCATCCATCCACTTTCTAACCATTTATCCACTGCAGGGTTGCGGGGCAGCTGGAGCTGGAGTCCAGCAAGCAATGAGCACAAGACAAGATACACCCTGGGCCAGTTTTCCCAGTAGCTAATTAATTAGCTTAGGTTAAGTCTTTGAACTTGAGTACCTGGAGGGAACCCAGGCAAACATTGAAAGAATATGCAAACTCCACACAGATAGCATCCCAGGAACTGAACCCAGGTTCCCAGCACTGTGCAGCGGCAATGCTAACAAAATCTCAAAGAGCAGATGGCTTGTTGTCATTCCTCGTTTACTTGGGGACCTAGGCAGGTTTGTGTCGTTATACTTGATAGATATGCGTTAGTCTGTTTGATTTAGAAAATACTTTTAAATCACCATTTTAAAAGCTAAAATTTCACTGTTAAAAAAAACAATAAAAATACCTCCACCTTTTTTTTCCATCTTTGTCTTCGTTTTCTCCTTCGTCATCTTCCTGTCTCCCTTTTGCTTTTCGGTTTCCTTCTTCCTCTCCTGGTGACCAAATTGCCACTTAGGTGGCAGCTGCTGAACCTTTCTGTCTGAGGTGCTGATGCACGGAGGTGTTCTCTGTGTGTGCCCAGCAGGTGGTAAAGAGGCTGATGAAGACATTCCCCCTTTACGCGAATCAGAAGTGCTGTCACTGCTGGAAGGCAGGATGAGAGGCATTCAGGGACACTTTAACTCCTGCTACCTTGATGCGTCTCTTTTCAGGTCAGTTACTTTCACAAGGATTCTCATGTGGGGATTGGATTAATCTCGTCACATGCTTTACAGACCCTTATTTATGTTTTATACTGCAACATATGGTGATCAGTGTTGAAAATACTTTTTTAATTGGACATCTTTTTCTACTTTGACTGCAAATCAAATTAAATGATTGTTCTAGAGGCATGAAAAACATGCACGTGTATTCAGTTAGCCCAATCTACTCTAAAATTGACTCCAGATGATTTTTTGTAATATGTCCGAGGTTGCAATCTGGTGCTGGTTTGTGCAGGCACTGGTCACTGTGCAACAGTGGGGTAAAACAACACGCACTTGAAGCTTAGGGCTCACGATAACGGGCATTTCACCAAAAACATGGGGGAATTTTAGGAAAATCAGTTTAACTAATGGAGGTCTCTTGCTACCTGTGCCTTTTCAGTGTGTTCACTTCATCCATGGCTCTGGATAGTGTGTTGCACTGTCCTGCTGGCACTGAGGGACACATCCAGAACATACTGAGGAAGGATATCGTCAACCAGCTGAGGAGGTAAACTCAACCTGATAATAGTGACAGCAGATTTAATACACAGTTAACAAACTCCTAGTGCAATATCTGTCCTTGGTTTCATGACTCTTGTAAGAAGGTTATGAATCATACTGTAGATGCGAATGATGATGAGTATAATTCCTTTGGTTTTTTTCTTTTTCTATAAATCTCTACAAAATATCACAAGTGGTCTGCAGTCAACAAGATGACCTTTCTCTGGCTTTTTAGAAACAAAAGGGCTTGTTCGAGAAGTTAACTTTTATTTACTGAGCACAATAGGAAAAAAATCACATCTGGACGCAACAGCTTTCATCTGTGTACGCATTATTGCATTTGAAAGATTGGGACTGACTGTGGTCATTATAGAACAAAGGCAGCAGTGTGGAAGGGTGGTTAGGGTTCTGCATCTATAACTGCAGGGCTGTGGGTTCAAATCCCAGATGAGACACTGCCCTTGAGGGAGGCACTTCATCTGAATTGTTCCAGTAAAATATGCAGTTGTACAAATAGCTGCAAACATCATCTAGGTGGATGCTGCACATTGGTGGTGGTGGAGGGGAGTCCCAGTTGCCTGTAAAGCACTTTGAGTGGAGTGTCCAGAAAAGCACTATATAGGTGTAAGCAATTATTATTATAAATGTATGTCAGTTTGGATAAAAGCATTTATTTTGTTTTGATGTTCCACTGATCATTTCCATTTAATTTGAAATTCCATAATTCAATTTGGATTCAAAGTAAATTCCAGTTAGATATGGATGCATATTCTTCACACAGATTTGTTGTTTAAATTAGTACACATTTTTAAAAACGTGATTTCTGCTGTTTGATTAAATGCAAGAATAAACACAGCATAATAAATCAAACTGGTTTGGGTGAAACTGACACAATTCCAATCCCAGACAGGGCTTTGTTCCTGCTGAGAATGTGATGAACTTCAGAAAGCTGCTAGGATGCAGTTCATTCCTCTGTGAAGAAAAAGGTAATACCACAGTCTTCTTGTCTCATTACACCAGTTTCTGTTTTATTATTTCTCAATTCTGTGCAAACACTCATTTTTCATAATTCTGCAAGTCTCTGCACTCAGCGCAGGATGAAACCTTGGGCTGTGCTCATTGTTGTCATCATTTCCCCTCAGACCCAGAGGAGTTCATCAGTACTCTTCTGCATCAGGTCCTGTCTGTAGACCCACTGCTGAAGATCAGGTATGAAACAAAACTACATTTTACAATAGATTCCTCTGCAAAATATCATAGAACATTCACTACTTTTATTTCTCTGATAGCTAGCGAGGTGCAGGTTATATGTTATTGTACAGTAGTCTATGTGCTTCCTCGTTTTCTTCTTCCATGTCTCAAGTGTATGTGTCAACTTTAAAATGGATGTTCTCCCTAAAATCTAAGAGGGATCAATTGTACTTATTTTTTGTAGGCTAAAACTAGGTTCTTGTGTTTTAAATATATTTTTATGATCTTTATAATTCAGATCAGTCTTTAAGAGGATACTATGTCAATGCCATTTAATTACTGTTGTAAGAAAATCATTTGCATAAATATGGAACAGACAAAATCATGATACTGGGACATAATACATTGATGTGCTTGAAACACACCGTGTTTTTCAGGTCGAATGGTAAGACCCAGGATTCCTATACCTTCCAGATCATCCTGGAAAAGGAACAGGTGGCGAGCACACCCACTGTGCAGCAGCTGCTCGAGACCTCCTTTCTGGCCTGCGATCTCAAGTTCCAAGAGGTAAGCTCTGTGGGCGCCATCCGTTCAAGTTGATCAGCCTGCATGAAACATTCTGACAACATCTAGCATCTCGGAAGCAAAGCGGAAGATCCAGAACCTCTGAACAGAAAACAGTTGAAAACAGTTAGGCCGTTAGATAAACATGAATCACATGTTTCACACTTAAAACACAGTAGGCTCCATCTAAAAGAACATGTTTCAGGTATCAGAAAGTGTTCATTAAAGTGGATATATCATAGACTAAAAAATGTAAACAGTGCTTGGGTTATGTATTTCTATGGGCTTTTACAGTGTCTATGTTCAAAGCTACTACTGCAGTGCTGCTTTACTGCTTTAGCCTACAATTTAATTTAATACAGCAGGCATGCAGTTGAAATGGCCTTGCTGGAGCTAGAATCAACTAATGAACTCTGAAAGTTCAAATACGTAATTCATTCATTAATTCATTCGTTCACTCTAGATCCCGTCCTGCTTGATTATCCAGATGCCAAGGTTTGGAAAAAAGTACAAAATGTTTCCTCAAATCATTCCATCAACAGAGCTGGATATTACAGATCTTATACATAACAGTAAGTGTGCTCATCTGCTCTATAGCCTATAACATAGGCTTATACAGTATTTTCAATTACAGTATATTACGTCTCTACAGCTTATCTTATAAATCATAGACACAAAAGTATACGCTAAAAACACCTGGCTGATGATGTTTCTTATTTTAAACAACCTTAGGAGTGAGTCTCAGGCCTCCAAACCGATCTGGTGGTGATTGTCGAACTGTAAGATGATTGAGGAGGGCACAAAAGCTTTAAGAACATTTAGTCCGTCTGGCCCGTTTGGTAGTTACGAGCCAATTGAAAGAAGCCAGGGTGACTTGGGTTTCACACTCCAGCAACCCATCAGACAAAATGATTAAATAAAGGACTGTATGTCTTTTTTTTGCATTATGGTCGAGTAGATTTTTAATGAAAAGGTCGGGTCTAGTCCACAGAGGGAGATAAATAGTCTAGAAGGCAGAAGGCAAATAGTTCCACTGAAGAGTCCCTCTTGTCCTGCCTCCTCCCAGACCCGCGAGAGTGCTTTCTCTGTGGGAAGCTGGCAGAGCTGGAGTGCTACGATTGTCTGAGGGACCCCAAGCTCATGCCTGGGAGGATCAAGCAGTTTTGCAACCTCTGCGAGAAACAGGTGAGCTGTGGCCGTCGGTCATGTGTTTGGGCTCATTTGTTCTTCAGATACTGTTATACTCGGTTCCTATTTCTGATCAGCTTTTTGTTTGTCAATGGGATCGCTCCGTTCCTGGCCCCATTCGCTGAATTCAGTGCCTGTCCCTGTCTAAGAGCTTTCTGAAACGCCTGTCTTACCTAGTCCTGTCTTCATTTCCTGCTGCCTGGTGTGTCTGCACATCGCCTCCCAGTTGTGGCAGCACATCCTATTGTTACGCCAAGGGCCCAGTGGTGGGTGGTTGGGAGCACAGTGGGCTAGGATGTGGGCGGTGCTGAAATGCGCTGGGAGTCTCGTCTCCGTGTCAGGTCCACGCTCACCGGCTGCGACAGGACCACAGGCCCCGGGGGATCTGCTACCCGGCTTGCCTCAGGGAGGGTGACCCAGTGCCGAGGCTGAAGCTGGAGCTCTTTGCTGTGCTGTGCATCGAGACCAGCCACTACGTGTCCTTCGTAAAGTATGGGAGCGGCAGGGACTCCTGGCTCTTCTTCGACAGCATGGCCGACCGCTGTGGTGAGACTTCTCCTTCGGCCTTTCTGTTCTTAGTTATTGCAAGCTGGTAAAGGAACAGGTTTGAACTACAGTGTTGCCTTTGGTCTGGAAGATTTATGGACTCCGGTGGTTTGTGTTGCCTAGTGAGCTGGATAGAATAATAGGGGTGTTAAACTATGTTGACATATGTTTGGACTGACATATGGCTTACCTAGTCATTTCAATAATAATAATAATTGCTTACACTTATATAGCGCTTTTCTGGACACTCCACTCAAAGCGCTTTACAGGTAATGGGGACTCCCCTCCACCACCACCAATGTGCAGCCTCACCTGGATGATGCGACGGCAGCCATAGTGCGCCAGAACGCTCACCACACATCAGTTATCAGTGGGGAGGAGAGCAGAGTAATGTAGCCAATTCATAGAGGGGGATTATTAGGAGGCCATGATTGGTAAAGGCCAATGGGGAAATTTGGCCAAGATGCCAGGGTTACACCCCTACTCTTTTTGAGAAACGCCCTGGGATTTTTAATGACCACAGAGAGTCAGGACCTCGGTTTTACGTCTCATCCGAGGGACGGCGCCTGTTTACAGTATAGTGTCCCCGTCACTATCATGGGGCATTAGGACTCACATGGACCGCAGGGTGAGAGCCCCCTGCTGGCCCCACTAACACCTCTTCCAGCAGCAACCTTAGTTTTTCCCAGGAGGTCTCCCATCCAGGTACTGACCAGGCTCACACCTGCTGAGCTTCAGTGGGTTGCCAGTTGTGAGTTGCAGGGTGATATGGCTGCTGGTAAGAACTGTTTCTGTTCTGTTAGATGTTTGATTGAGTTACTTACCTTTAAGTAAAATAGATATTTGTATATAATGTCAGTATGAACTATGGTTGTCCGATATAAATCACTAGACAGTAAAATTTGCTACATATACAAATTGAAAAAAGGACAACACAAACCAGCAGACACTAATTCCCAGTGTGGAGAAGAGGAAGAACACAAGTCTGTATGGACACAGTTTTTGAAACTTCATCCTCTGTCATGTGTGTTAATGGGTAATGTAGTCTGGGGTTCAGGTATTCTATATTTCATTGTTCCTTGGTGCAAACGTTGCATAATACAGATATTGGAACTTACAGAACAATTTTAGAAGCTGACATTGACACGTTTTCTCTCTGTATGTTTGAAATCCCTTTGCAGGAGGTGAAAATGGCTACAACATCCCAGAGATCAGGGCATGTCCACAAGTGGGTGACTTTCTCTCGCAGCCTGAGGAAGACTGGGCTAAACTCGACCTATGTTACCTTGATGAGTTTGTAAAGAGGCTGCTGTGCGACTCATACATGTGCTTCTATCAGTGCCCAGCCCTCTCACTGTACAGATAGCTGAACCTGCATAGAGATCTGAGAGACCTGTTCAGCCCTCTCACTGTACAGATAGCTGAACATGCATAGAGATCTGATAGATCTGTACAGCCCTCTCACTGTACAGATAGCTGAACATGCATAGAGA